AAGAGGTTCACCAGATGACTTATTCCTTTCCACAATCTGTATATACTTATTATAAATCTGATTTGATGTGAAATCTTAATGGATCATATAAATCATATAATGTCGAATATTTGCTGAAAGCTTTTGAGGAAATAATGACTTTGCTCTAGTCAGGTTAAGTTGACCATAACAAGAAATTCCATTCTTATTACAATGCTTTCTATGATAATACAAAGTCACATTAGGCATGATTGTGCTGCAACCAATCCATACCAAAGATGAAGTCAAAAGTTTGACTCAACACCATTTGCAATGACTACAACTCAACACATAATCAAGCCATTTGTAAAATTATTTGACTAAAAAATTGCACGCTTATACTTCTAGGTTTTGACTTTAGTGTAGATTCAGCAACTGTAAAGGATGTTTCATGAGCATCTTGTTTTTGATATTCACATCAATATCTGTATCAAAAAGTTTGTAATTATATTTTATTAAAAAAGTATGCCTGATGAATGATAAAAAACTTGTGTTTTTGGGTTGTTTTAAATCTCCAAGATCACAATTTTTGTTGGAAAATTGCCAAAAATCCATTCCATCACCCCTTCTCCTCTCACCATGTAGAAATTTAACCTTATTAACTGTTGTAGCAAGTTATACCACAAGTTTATAAGGTTCAACAAAACATTCAACATAACAATCCTCCAAAAATTGTATATACACAATAACTAAAACACTTCATACAAAGGGATAAAAAATAAATAGCACTATCAATACTTCCTCCTAATGTTCCTTTAAATCCCCATCAACCAAAGAATTTTAATTACTTTCTATCCTTCTTAAAGAAGGGGATGGTGAGTAATGTTATATACTATTATTAGTGTTATAGGATTTTAATAGTTATTTGATTAGTTTCAATCTGGACCACTCACTGGACCACTCACTTTTATATATAAGCTAACGTTTTTGGGTTAATTGTATATTCACAGCTTTAATTTATAATTATTTGCATAATATTAAATTAACCAATTAAAGCAAAATATTATACTGTTACAAAATAAATAATATTCGCACTTAAATTCACCAGTCATCACTGAGATATTCTATTTTATTCGCGCCCGGCACATGCGATACCTGGAACCCCTCACATGGCTAGCAAATGCAACAGTTTCCTTCTTTCGTCGTGGTCACCATAAGTTCTCCAGACTTGTCTATTTTACCCAAAGTCAATTGCCAAATAAAGTTTAACCCCGGATGGATCTGCCGGTCAAAACATTTTCTTCATTGTCGTATCGCACGCCCTCGCAACGGCTAACTACCCGTCACTGGAGAGGGAAAAGATAAAGTTACCGCAGCATTGTCGTCTAACGGCTAACCAGCACGCACGGTAAAAAAAAGAAAGAAAGATAGATGGAAAGGAAATTGTTGTCGGCTGAAGCTGTTAGCTAGCCACTGCTGCTACTTCTATACACCATTCCACGATCGTCGTGTTTTTAGGGTTCTTGATGCTATAGCTTTAGATCGATCTTTCTTTACCCTGATTCTTCCAGCATTGCCCGTTATCGATCGTTTTGCTGTCGATCCGGGCGTGTGCAGTGATATTCTGGCGCCTGGCGCGCGCATCTGTGAGAGATTTCGCAAGTGTGAGCGGAAATTTCCAGAAATTTCGTGCCGGCGGAGTGATGTCGAGGAGGAATGCATCGATTTGCGCGTGCCTGGGCGCGGTTCTGGTAGCTGCATTGCTCGAATCGGCGCTGGCGTTCGATTACTCGGATGCGCTGGGCAAGACGTTCTTGTATTACGAGGCGCAGCGATCCGGGAGGCTGCCGCCGAGCCAGCGGGCGTCTTGGCGGGGGGATTCGGCGCTCGACGACGGCAAATCCCAGGGCGTAAGCGCTTCTTTCTTGCTCGATCGTCGAAATATTTTGCCCGGGTTTCTCACACCCCTCGTTCTTTCTTTCTTTGCCCAGGTTGATCTAGTCGGCGGCTACTACGACGCCGGCGACAATGTCAAGTTTGGCCTCCCAATGGCCTTCACGATCACAATGCTGTCTTGGAGCGCCATCGAGTATGGCAAGCAGATCGATGGCGCCGGCCAGATGGGATTCGCGAAAGAAGCCATCAAATGGGGCACCGATTACTTCCTCAAAGCTCACACTGCGCCATTCGAGCTGTGGGGCCAGGTATAGAACCCCTTTCTTTCAAAGACTAGCCAGTAGCTAAGATTTTTAGAGCTCACATTCTTAAAATCTTTCACTTTACTCACGTTTCTTTGGTGAATGTGGATTCGTGTTCTTACCCAAAGTTCTCGATTTTGTAGGTGGGCGATGGCCTGAACGACCATGGTTGCTGGCAGCGGCCAGAAGACATGACCACTTCGCGCCGTGCTTACAAGATCGACACCAGCAACCCTGGATCCGACCTTGCGGGCGAAACGGCGGCAGCAATGGCCGCGGCATCTATCGCGTTGCGTAGCTCTGACCCGACTTACTCAGATCTGCTCGTAGAACATTCCAAACAGGTCACCTCTCTATATCCCCTTGCTGGTATCTCCTCGTTTTCGGCTCTGTTTTCGTCATTCTTGTCTTTTCGTCGGTCCGGAGCGCTTATCACCCATGGCTGGCATTTCATTGTTTTGTTCCTGTTTCGCGTTTTCTTTGTATACTCGGTACTCACTTCCCTGTTCCTTCGATTTTGGTGTCTTACCAGCTGTTTGAATTCGCGGACAAGTATCGCGGGAAGTACGACAGTAGCATCCGCCTCGCGCAAAATTTTTACACTTCCAAGAGTGGCTACGCGGTAAGGTCTTTACGTCTCAGCAACAGCTGGTGACTGAGATATTCTGGTAACTGGTCTTTTCCAGGATGAACTTCTGTGGGCGTCCCTGTGGCTTTACGAAGCGACTGGAGACGAGCAGTATCTCGATTACGCTGTCGATAACGGCGGAGCGTTGGGGGGCACAATCTGGGGGCTTATGGAGTTCTCCTGGGACGTGAAGTATCCAGGAGTTCAAGTTCTTGCATCGAAGGTAGCATTTTTTTAACTGGCTATTGAACATGGCTTATTCATGAGCTGCAGATTCTCATGCAAGGACGAGCTTCTCCACGACACATTCCAACGCTGGAGCTGTTTCAATCCAAGGCACAATTCTTCCTTTGTGCTGCTCTTCAGAAAAATAACGGCTTTCACCTGCCAAGAACGCCTGGTGAGCTTTTCTTCGTTTTTTTTTTCTTTTTTTTGGACCCATGTTTTTTTTCTTCCAAGTTTGTACACCCTCTGGCTGACCATTGCTCTTTAATTTCTTTGTCTCTCTCAGGCGGATTGATGTACGTGAGATCTTGGAACAACATGCAGTACGTTGTAACTGCATCTTTCTTGTTAACTGTGTACTCTGACTACCTCGCGTCGTCACGCCAGCAACTGCAATGCCCCAGGCTGAGCTCCGACTCCAGTGAGCTTCTAGCACTCGCAAAGTCCCAGGTTAGTCCAATTCCCTTCTTCAAGAACCCCTCGACCAAGTTTTTAATGCGAGTCTGTTATATGCTGCCCCAGGTGGACTACATCCTAGGAGACAATCCAAGAGCAACGAGCTACCTCATCGGTTTTGGTCAGAACTATCCCCGCCAGGTCCACCACCGGGCATCGTCCATCGTGTCCATCAAAGTCGACAATGCCTTTGTCAGCTGCCGGGGCGGCTACAGCAGCTGGTACCTGCGCAAGATGAGCGACCCAAACGTCCTCATTGGCGCGCTCGTCGGCGGTCCCGACCTGTACGATAACTTCGCCGACGAGAGATACAACTTCGAGCAGACCGAGCCCGCGACGTATAACACTGGGCCGCTTATCGGCATCCTGGCCAGATTGCTACAAGACCACCGCTACCAGCAATCAGGCAGGAATCTATCTCTCTTTCTTACGGCTAGAGTGAGTGAGTGCTCAAGAACTTACGTTTTCTCTTTGGTTTCGCAGAGCTCAAGGCCTCAAAGACGTCGTTGGTGGGAGCAGTAAGAACGGCTTTAAAGACGATACCACGTAAGCTTCTCTTCGTAAAGAGAGTCCACTCTCTTTTAACAATCGTATACTTACTCCGTGCTTTGCTTTTCTCCACTAAAAGGTGGCGTGAAATCAGTGCTGTCCATCCGGCAAAGGCTGGTGGGCTCGTGGACTTTGGAAGGCCAGGTCCAGTACAAGTACGAGGTGACAGTGAAGAACACATCGAGGAGGCGGACGGTAAAAGCCATCGTTCTCCAAATCAATCGGCTTCAAGAGGGCCAGTATTGGGGATTGACGCGTACATCCAGTAGCGGCAGCAGCACTAGCAGGAGCACTAGCAGCACTAGCAGCAGCAGCAGCAGCGACGCGGGCGACGGATCATTCACCTTCCCTCACTGGCGGAGCTCCTTGAATCCGCTCGAGAGCTTCGTTTTCGTGTACATAAATGCGGCGAGCGGTGAGCGGGCCAAGATCAGAGTCGCCAGTTACCGCACCACCGCACCTGGAAGCAGCGTGTAAATTTTTGGGGAGCCACACACACTCGAGCTTTCTTCGTCTTCAAAGGGAGGATGTAAGTTACCTATCTCTCCTTCTCTCTCTTTCTTTATTTCTTGCTTTGTTGGTGAGTGTAGTGTAGAGGTCTAGTGTAAAAATTTGGGAGCCTGGAGAGAGTGAGAGCGTAAGGTATCGTTTGAGCCTGTAGGATTTGCACAGGAGATCCTCGGTTTGGATGGATACCATGCCACCTCTCTGTGTAGTGGAGGATTCTTTTAATTTATTGCAAGTTTTGTGTTGTCTGCCCATCAAAATGAAAAAAAGTGTGGATGGATACCATCCCACCTTATGCTACTGTTTAATGTTTGTGTAAAAAAGAAAAAGATTTTAAATTGAGGTGTAACTTTCTATCTCTGATGAGATGCATGTTCTTCCAGTCAGTCCCACTGGCCATTTTCTTTAATCTTCTCTCGTGTGCTTTGCCATTTAAAAATGTAACTTCCACTGTCATGCTCGTAGTCAGAGTCAAGGGCTCCAGTCCAAAACATCATAGTTTCCTGTGTTTAATCAACACAAAGATCCAAAACAAGTCTAGCATGTGTGTGTGTGTGTCATGAAGTTTTTGTTATTGTCCTTCGAGTGTGTGCCGCCCATCCTTTTCGTCACCCTTTTCTTCTCCTTCGTCCTCCTCGATTGTGTGCTCATCCATTTCATCACCTTTTTGTTCTTCGAGTGTGTCATCCTCGTTTGCATTTACTGGATTGGAAGTTCGATCACCAGCTTCAACTTCTTCCGGGAAGAGTCTCTTGAGCATCTGATCCGCTTCCACTCTTGGCACCAGCAAGCTCATATTCGTCCGCCCCCTCCAGCAGCCAACCGCGGTTACATCGTTCGTTCCAACTGCAAAACAAAACAAAGAGATCGAGAACTTGAAAGAGGTCATAAAAGAGTTACCGGAATCTTTGAGCACAACCACGCAGCATCCTACGAGGAGGCTTTGCATGGCGGACGTGAACGCCGGATCCTTAAACGCTACGAACGGGACGGCACTGGGCGATAGCAGCAACTTAAAGTCGTCCTTGGTTGCGTACAAGAGCTGCTTTGTTAGATGCGGTAGGAGGAGTGGCAGGCCCTCTGAGGCGATCCGAAAGTTACAAGAGGACGCATCTTCCTTGTTCGAATGCCGCTCCTGGGAGTAAAAGAAATTAACACGGTGAGTGTAGGTAAGGAAAGCCTGTGAAAGCGAGAAACTAGCTACTTACGAAGATCTTCAGACCAGCGGAGGTGATCTTGAGCAGCTGGCCAGACCGAAAGTTTAGCCGGGCCACGTCGCCCACGGACTTGGAGACGTAGTAAATCCTTTTCACTCGGGAAGTGTCCTCGCTTCTCACCACCAAGTGGCCTGAAAGTGGCAGCGATTCCTGGATGCCATAGTACGAGGCCAGGCTGCGGATGATTTGGTCGTCTTCCAGGAATAAGACGGGATCAACCCCGTGCCAGGGGCCCTGCTTCTGTTGTTTTCGATTCTCCCTCTGGCTGTCGAGCTCGAGCTCCGCCGACTGAGCGTTATCGGGCTCGTTATCGTTATCAACAGCCTCAGGATTCTCCGTATCGTTGTCCACGTTTTCCTCGGCCTCTTGCGGAGCCTTTCCACGGCCACGAGACTTCTTCCCGGAGAAGCTGTTTGAAACGCCTGAACAGAAACAACATGAATGCGAGGACGAAGATTCATAACTACACTTACGTTTGTATGGTCCCACTTTCTGGAAAGCGGCAATAAAAAACCCGCCTGTATCCTGATCATGCGGCAAAATCCTCATGCAGCGCTCAAGAGGGAACTCTGATACCTCTGCTTCGCTCTCAGTGGCTCCTTCAGAGGGGTTCTCGACGTTATTTCCACTGTCCATGTCCCCCTCTCTCTCTAGTGTGATTTGGGCCATTCTCTTTCCAGATGGGAACATGCTGGGTAGAACAGCTCGAAATTTATCTTCATGGTAAGAGGAAAACCATCTTCTGCGTCCTCGCACCTGATACGACACACTTGCAAAATCAGAGAAGGCTCACGTTGCAAGAGAAAAACAAAGGACCTTCCAAGATTTTAAGCCAGGCCTTCGCCTCAGCGTTGGAAGCTCGGACGAAACATCGAGCAGCTCCATACAGCCACCACTTTGTCTAAGGATCTGCGCACAAAATTCAATATATGTTGTAAGTTATGAAAACAGAAATGCTACCTCTCCGACAACCGCTTCATCCTCTATTGGATTGAGAGAACATGTTGAATAAACCATACGCCCTCCGACTTCCAACAATGCGACACCTAAACAAATTTCAAGGCATGTTTGTAAAGTCATCCAAATGAAACAATACTTTACCTCGCATAGCAATCTGTATTTGAAGACAATGCAAACCATTCCCCATGCCGGGGCTCCTGTATCTCACTTAAAATATCAGACAGCATAGAACCAGAAAAGACAAACCATTTTTTCCAGAGATCAGGAGCTTTGCGCATGGTACCATCTCCGCTACACGGTACATCACATAATACGCGATCGAACAATAATCCCATATCATCTCCTATCGAAGGTTCCTTGTCCTTCACATCGACTGCAAACACTTTGATACACGCACGACACAGATCAAGAAGCTTCTACCTTCAAGTTTTTTCTTCTTTAGCCCTGGGAAGTGCTGAGCCTCGTGGTTCGTAACAAGAATATTTGGACTACACATTCTCTTTGTCTGATGTATAAGAAGATGGCAACGTTGGACATTCAGGTCGTTGGCTATGACCTTGTAAGATGGATGGCGTCAGAGAAATCGATGAAATAAGGCCCACTCACCATTCCTTGGGACAAAGCTCCCGGCTGATCGTCCTTGTGAATGACTTCCAGAAGTTGAAAAGTTTTAGAACCAGGTGCTGCACACACTGTCACAAAAACACAAGAAGGTTAAAAGGCGTAAATTCCAAACTACAACTTACTGTCAAGAATGCGGTGATTCGGTTTCACATCCAGGAATAGAGGAGGAACCTACAATGAGAAGAAAGAAAAACGTTGTCAGGAGATCTCTAAGCATTTCAACACTCACCATGCTAACAGCCTCTTGCCTCGTGATATTACCCAACTCATTCTCCTCCTTCAAAAATTCGTGTATTCTGCTCGGATAGTCAGCAATGACTCGAACGCCTATACGGAAAAGTTACCTTTGCAGTATAGAAGCTTTGCGGAGCTGCCTTCTCGAAAAACTCAAATGCCAGGCGAGATCGTTCGGATACCAGGGAAGTGGCCGAGGAGGTTCAATCACTTCGCCATCAATCTTCACAGCCAAAGTTTGGAAATGAAAATGAGGAAAAGAACTCTGCGAATTACTACCTCGGTTTCATCCTTCAAACAATCAAAGAAATCTCGCCGCATTTGGTCTCGAATGCATTCAGCATACTGTCCACTGGAACTCCAAACAAGGAAAAAAAGAATGCATTGAGATCGACGCTGCAAACGCAAAGGAAGAACATACCCTCCATTGATCCGGAAGGTCGTCGGCAAAGACTTGCGCAAGCACGCCATGAATTGCCCCCACTCACTCTCGGGCACAATTCCTTGCTTCTGGAGGAAAGAAAGCCAAAATCTCACTCACTACAACGAGAACGAAAGAGAAAAGCAAAGAACCTTGTAATACTCCTCAAATGCGGGACTTTCCACGACAAACGGCGCCCAGCCGCCATCGCCATCGCCATCGCCCTGCTCCCGGGGCTTCTTCCACACATTCTCGCGGCCATCGCGAAAATCCCTGCGCTGCGTGCGCCCTCTCTTCCCTCCTCTCCCTCGCCCCATTCCCGCTAAAGCCCTAAACCAGGACTTTAAAAAGCTATAAACCCTAACCCTAAACTACTTTAACCCCTGGGCTTTAACCCTAAATCCTAGTCACATAACGACTTTAATTCCATAGTAAAAATTAGCTCTCATATAAATCTTTCTAGACACGTCAGTTCCCTTTTATTGTCGGTGGCTCTATATAAACCCTAAAGCTAAAGTAATGCATTGCTTTTTTCTCTTCCTTTTCCTCTCTTCTTCTCTTCCATGGATGATCATCGCCGCCACCAGGACACCACTCTCCTCCGCAAGCTAGAGCTCCAAATCGCGACTTTGATCGCCCAAGATCACAAGGATCGTCCGGGGGAGGAGCTCGATCTGGGCCTCGCGCTCTGCAAGGGCGGGAGCCCATCGACGAGCGCGAGCGCGAGCTGCGAGAGGTCGTCATCGTCGTCCTCGTCTCGAGACACTGGCGCTCCCGACCTTGGCGGCAAGAAACCATGGCTCACGCTGGGGTTTGCCGGAGCGCCTCTGGGATCGAGCAGCGCAGTGACTTCTCCAGCGAGCGCGGAGGATTTGCCTCGCCCTCCTCTTCCTCCTCCTCCTCCTCCTCCGGCCAGCGATTTGAGGCGCAGGGATGATCCGGCAGCGGTGGCATGCATCTTTTGTGGATCCGCGACGCGATTCGACTACTTTAACAATCACCGGCACGATCAACCGCGGCGGCGCTGCTTGAGGTGCAAGAGGAAGTTCACTCCCGGCGCCAAGCTGCGCGGGGAGGAGCGCAAGAGGCTGGCCAAGCTCCACGCCATGGATCCAAAGTCGTGAGCTTCGATCAATGCAATGTGTAAATTTACCTTTTCCATTTTTTCCCCTTTCTCGGAGGTTCTTGGTTTTTCGCTAGCTTTCCAACTTCCCTCTCGGTGGTTCTTGGCTTTCGCCATTGGTCTTGGAGGAGAAGGCTCTTGTAGAAGAGGACGTTTGTACAAAGCATGGCATTTCCCTGTAGAGGAATGGCGTGACCTTTAAGCAAAGAAAACGAGGAAAGCTTTGCGAACCTGTTTAGCGACGAAATCGCAGGGACAGTTTTCTCGTCAAAGCTGAGAGACCTGGAAAGCCAAACAACGCTTGAGAAGCAAAGGATCTTCAATCTCTCAGCTTTGCAAGACTAAAATCGAGAAACATCTCTTAGTTCCCAAGAAAATCCTTGAGAAAGTAAACACATCAAGGATTAAGTGAGTAGCGGAGATCTCAAGCTGTGCTGCGAGAGCAAAAAAATTATAATAGTGTAAAAATCAAAAGTACCTCTAGTTTTGTTCGCTCAGCTTGCACTGGACACTCGAGTTTCGACGAGCTCATCAATCTCGCGTGCTGGGACTCCCGGAAAGACTGCCGACATCATCTTGGAGAGCAGCTCAGCGTCCTCCTTGGAGATTTTTTTTGTCCCGATGGAGCACGCACAAATCCCGTCTAGAGCTTTATCGATCCGTGTGATCATTGGCACGTCCGGAACTGGTGAATTAGACTTTCTTCGTTTCTAAACGAAAACAAGCTGCGTGAGATTACGAAACTGTGAAGACAGAGATGCTCCCGAACCTGTAGAGCTTCGTCCATGAGAAGGCCAAAGCAGTCGACCTCGTACTGGACGTCGTAAGAAACTCTGAGACGAGAAGCCGCCATTGCAATGTCCTCACTTTTAAGGAGACCAGCGCCGACTGCAGCTACCCAGCACCAAACAAGCACGAACATTGGCTTCGCTACCTGGAAGAAGAAAGGGAAAAAAAATGAGTTCTTAGTTGCGAAGTAAAAATCTACCTTGCCGTGGCGCTCTACAAAACGAGCGAACGCTCCTGACGCGTCCTCCGGACATCTCTTCTGCACCCTTGTGTAAAAGTCCGGAAAATCCACTCTATCACCTCCTATTCCACCTTCGTCACTGAGTATCCTCATGAACAGACCCACGATAGGGAGTGAACTAACGAGCTTGGCGACTGGGTTGCTGCTCGAATTCTCCATATATGCGACAGTAGCCAATCTGCGTGTCCAGCTTCTTGCGGGAAATGCCACTCTCTTCTGGAGCTGATAGCATTGATTTCTGAGAAAACCCATGCTCGAGAGCATTCCAGGCCGGGAGACGGAAGCGCAAGGACATGCTGCTGCCATTGTGGAAGCTGCAAACCCCTAAACATTGAGTCAGAAACAAATCTAGTTTACAGAACAAAGCGAACCTTGCTTTAGTTCCTTGGCCTCACAACTGGAACATACTTGGTCTTAGCTCGATAAAAACGTTCAAAAGATGAATTTTCCTGTCTCGAGCTTCTTCTTTCATGTTGATGTGGTCTTCGTTGTTCTTGTTGTTGTGTTACATATCCTCGTGGAGGAGGTGTACGATAGTCGTCGATACTCAATGCGCCTTCGTATGAGAAAACGCAGGCGAGTGCATGCACGGACGCAGCGAGCATATCCGGTAAGTTGGCACTCGGATTCTTCACCTGGAATGCAAAGCGGAAGTTTCGCAGTTTTAGAAAGAAAGAACTTATCTTCTCTTTTTTCACGTACCTTGAAGAGCAAAGCCGATAAAAGCCGCTCGCGCAGACAATAAACCTGTGCCGCCATGACCGACGACGTCTGATACTTCAGCCATCGATCTATCACCATTGCCAGTGTGTCGTCCGCAGCCTCCATAAGCTCCCTCTCGGCAGGACCAGCCATCTCATACTCTTCCTCTCGGTAAGATCTAAGAGGCGCCACGGACAGCTCGGTGCAGAAAAACAGAAGTGGATGAGGCTTGACGCAAGTGTTGTTTCTGATATACACCTGAGATTCTCCGCGAGTGACTTCGTCAAAAACAAGAAGGTGGTCGTTGTAAACGTTAAGATCCGGGAACTGCTGCTGAACCAACAGCCGAAAGTTCGATGACTGAGGATGGATCCGAACCTTCTCGCCCCTGGCTATCTGAGCAATAACCTTCCGACCACTTTCATCAGGGGGCAGAATTCTTGCCACGGACGGATATAAGCAAGCGGAGAGTATTGCTCGGACAATGCCTGGATCCTTTGCATTCAAGCTGCATGGCCGCGGATCTCTCTTGACGAACCCCTTCAACGTCAGCTCTCTGAGTAGTTGCTTTCTCATTCCGTCCAGCATGTTCATAACACCTGGTGATAAACTGTACTGCGAGCAGAAACTATAATCCTGACCCCTTTTTCTCGCCGCTTCCCATCCGTCGAACGCAGCAACGACTGCTAAATGATCACTGTATCCCCCATACTTTGAAGCCAGATGATTTTTTGCAGCAAAAGCCTCTCTCTTCAGGTGCGGAGCCATAGGTAGCACAAAAGGGTCTCGGTATCCGGCTGCACAGGCGATAGTAAGCGCTGGATCCAGGCAGTTGAGTAGTATCGACAGCAACAGCATCTTGCTCGTAGCTGGATGAACAGGCAACGAGCCAAGTTGTTGTCCAAGTTCACTAAGCTCTCCCGCAGGTGTAAGTGCACCAATGTCTTGGAGTAGTGACATAGCGTTCTGGATGGATATGTCGAGTGGTGGATCCAAAGCACTCGACAAGAAATCCCTTACATCACCACGCGGCTGGAGAAGCTTTACCTGCAAAAGAAAATTTGAAGAGATGATCAGACACTACAACTGTAAGACAAAGCATCATCTTTACCTTCAAACAAACTTCTTCCAGAGGAGTTCGTTTCATCTCAGGAAGTTGAAAGTCGGCTAAGGATGCAGCACGGACTTTGGAGAACAAATGATAGCAGAAGCCCGCACGGCAGCGACCTGCGCGTCCCTGCCGTTGTCGTGCACTTGCCTTTGAAACCCACGTTGTCTGGAAAGTAGAGACGTTTGTATAAGGATCATAGCTTTTCTCCTTCATCCTCCCGCTATCAATCACGTAGACAACGTCGTCAATGGTGATGGCGCTCTCAGCAATGTTGGTTGCCAAGACAATCTTTCTCGCGCCGGGCGGTGGCTTCGTAAAAATCTTCTTTTGGTCGCTCATAGGAATCATCGAATGCAGAGGTAATATGAGGAACCTGGTTTCGTCGCTGTAAAATGGTGACGCCATCAGCTGGTCTCTGCATCTCGTGATATCCTCCCAGCCAGGAAGAAACACTAAAACAGCTCCGTCCCCAGGATCACTACAGATAGTATGGAGTAGACGCTCGATCAGAAGAATGTCTACTTCTTCTTGATCCACAGAGCCGTGGTACTTCCCAAGAATTTCGGCTTCCTTTTCTGCAGTTTGGACTTCTGCTGCCTGTTTGATGTGTTCCCTTATCGTTTCTGCAGCCTCCTCTTCCCCGTTACTTTCGGCCATGTCTAAAGCTGTCTGTCCCTCTTGTGACACAAGCGAGCAGCTACTTCCCAATGATAGAAGCACGCCGACGTCTTCGACCCTTCCTTTCCCAGCTGCAACCATTAAGGCCGTAATACCTGTCGACGAATGCTGGTAATCTACGACTTCAGGTCTTGGATTCTCGGTCACCAAGCTCAGAAGTTGCTCAAAGTCATCATCTAGCCAAGCACATGTCAACGCGTTGTCCATCTCATCTGCATCTTCCTCGCTGAGCAAAAGGCTATCTGCCGCAGGCTCCGCAGAGCGCTTTCTAGCATTGGCCTCGAAATTGGTCATGGAGAGAACATCCTCCAAGTAGTACACGGTCACCTAGAAAACCAGTGTTAATCCAAAGGATACTTTGGAATGAACATCATAAATCAGCACTTACTGGATGAGTAAAACCCGGTATCTTCAAAACCGGACAGTTGTTAAAATACGAAGAGAACAGTTCCGCATCAAGAGTGGCACTCATGAGAACCTGTGAAGATCATGGATGTTGATAATGTGATGAAGTAAGAAGTCAAAATATACCAATCGGAGGTCTGGCTGAGCCAATAACAATCCTCTGCACAAAGAATTGTAAGGACACTTTTCAGGCACGGACCAGTGCCTAGAACACAAAAACTCACTTTAGAACGATAAGCAAGAAGTCCGCATTACAATCTCGTTCATGAATTTCGTCCTACAATTGTGTTGTAAAAACTAGTTAATATTAGTGAATATGAACGTACCACAATGATATGCGTTGCTGAAACTCCAGCTTCTTTCGCCGTTACGAGCTTCCGGAGCAGTACCCCATTGGTACAAAACATTAAGGAGCTATGAGGACCACCTCTGCTTTCTAGTCGGATCTATTTAAACGAGGTACAAGCCGAAGAAAAAATATAAATGTGCCGAAAGGAACGCCTACCTGATAGCCAACCGTTTCACCAATAGCCTCTCCACGCTCAGTCGCGATACGATCCGCAACTGAAGAGCTAAGTGAATTAAAATCCATAAACTCCACATTCAGACCAAAGAACCTGAAGTAGCAGAAATTCGACGAGGTTGAGTACATACCACCCGGCACGATTTCCCTTGCCCCCACATATGATCAAGTAAGTACTGAGGGACCTGCAAGGCACGATCGTTATGAAAATCGCAAACCATAAAATGAATGTAAAACTTACTTGTGTTGATTTGCCGCAGCCTGTTTCACCCGCTATAATGACAACCTATGATAACGGGAACGGAGCAAAGATGAAACCTCCATTCTCGAGTGCGTACCTTGTTTTGATCCACAGTAGTCGTGATAACATCTCGAAACTTCCAAATCGGAAGCTTTTGCGTCGTCTCTGTCAGCTGCATTGAGTGAGGCTCGTTAGACAAGCAAAAAAATCTCTCATACATTACCTTCTTGAGCGTTGTCTGTCTCTTCTTTGAAAGAAGCGACACATTGTTGGCGATCTCGGCAGGAGTCAAGAACAGTGCCGTGACCTTCTCCGGAGCAGCAGAGCTCAGCACAGGATCTACATCAGCCGGAGCATTGATAGCAACATTTCCTTCTTCATCACTAGGAGGAAACTGCGAAAAGATCTCCACGAGAACTTCCTTAGTTTCTCGACAAAAGAAAATCGGAGTCACGGTAGCATTGGCCTCCTTCCGGTTCACATTCTTAAAGACTGTGACACGCCGATCGCTACCTTTACTGCAAGAACGAAACAAAAATATATTCTCGCTAGAGAAACCAGCCGGAATTTTTTACCCATAACTCTTGGATTTAAATCCCATCTTCTGGCAGAAACTGTGCACTACTGCCCGATCGTGGTTGCTTAGATCCGCCTCAAACGTAAGCTCTGCCAATGGATGAAAAGATCACTCGCTCCTCCCGAAATTTTCTCTCGATCTTTGCTTACCCTGGGAGCTACTCTCTCGGAACTGCTGGAGCCGGTCCATGATCGTGATGCGATCCGCCTCAGCCACCGGGCGCATTCCCACGGCAAAACCCCTCCCTCGTTGCCTCCCATGCCCCCGCGATGAAAACGCCATTGCCGCGCTAGAGCCCTAAAATATTGTCCTAGGGGAAGAAGGTATCTTTAAGAAAGATTCGTCCTAGGAAGATCTAGCTCTCTCGTCGAGAAGACGCGCGCACGATTGATAAAAAAAATGCGACAAATCATAGCATCGAGAAATGCCCTTTGGAAGAACCCTAAATTTCTCTAGAAAGGAGGAAAGATCACACGAGCTCAATTGGCGGGAGATCCCCCCGAGGAAGACGATGCAACGCAAAACTCGTGCCTGCCCACGGGGCTGGGAAGAACCCTAAAATGCCACAGATGGCTCGTCACCGATTCCTCCACCAAATTCTCCCGGCACAAAAACTCCTCCGAGTAGCTGCGCTCCACGGGGCGCTCCACATCGTGCACGAACACATCCGTCCCATTCCCAGTCTTGCGGCTCCGCGCCATCACCGCCGCGCTGAAGATCGCCGCCATCCTCCCGGGCGCGCCGGGGAAATACCCGCGCGGCGCGTCCACCATGATCACATCCCACTCCACCTGGAAGAGCTCGTCCGCCAGCCCATTGAGCGCGAGCTTACACTCGGAGAGTAGCAAATTCTGGACGGCAGTACACTTCCCCTTTCGATTGGATCGAGCGTGTTCTAGCAGCTGATCGGCCTCGGTGAGAACTGTGCTGTACTCCACGATATGGGTCTCTAGCTCCGGATGTTTCTCGCTGATCTGCCGGATCCAATCCTCGGACTCCTCCAGGAACACTGTTCTTCCGGCGTAGTTGAGCATCTTCCAGAGGAGGCTATCGTGGCCAAGCCCGAAGACGAGGAAGTTGCAAGGGCCGCGGCTGGCGAGGACCTTGGCGGTCATGAGGATCTCCTCGCGGGTCTGCTGTGGCGTCGTGTCGGTGGAGGCGTAGTGGACGAGCGCGGTCATGAGATCGTGCGGGAGGCGCTCCACCGTCATTGGGACCGAGATTGTGTTCTTCACGGGGACGAGGACGATCTGCGAGGAGGGAGAGGAGGAGGAAGAAGAAGAAGAAGAAGATGCGAGGGATTGCGAGGGATTGCTAGCGTCGCGGAAGAGTAAGAAGGCGAGGGAGAAGACGACGAGGATGAGAATCGGGAGGAGCTTCCAGGACGGCTTGTTCTTGGGATTTGGCGACGGGAACAGAGCCATGGAGGTGGATTATCGCGGGATTCTCTCGATGCCGGTGTTCCAGGTCCCAAATCTCGCCGACAGCTGCCAAAGATCGTGAGATCCGCTCGAAATATCGCCAAGAACAACCGAAATCCCTGCCAATTCACTTACCGGCGCCTGGAATCGACCGCAATCTCTCGCAAGGAGGCCTTGCAAGCTAAGAATCTGCCGGCATTGGCTCTCTGGCGCTGGCGCTGCGCTGCTCGCTGGAAATCTGCGTGCTCAAGGCAAGAAATATCCCTGGGCGAGGCGCGCAAGAACCTAACCTTCTTGAAGTAGACAGCGAGCAACCTTCCATTCCATTTTGTTTATGCCGATCGAGCGATCGATGGGAGCATCTCTACCCGAATTCCATGTGGACCCCCTCGCTGCTGGTGGCATTGCGAGCTACCGTGAAAATCTCCCCTCTCCCACCATCCCAATGGGGCCAGAGATTTTTAGGGTTCTTGGAGTGGGCCGCCAGAGAGAAGGACACGTACCTGTTACCAAACGGAGAGAAGATTTCGATGTTGATGCGTCACTACCTCTCTGGGAAAATGACAAAATTATACGATTAGAATATTCGGACGGCCTTTTTCACCCTTGTCAGGGGTAAATCCACGCAAGTTAACGGCCCGATTTCACTTTTTATAATCCATTTCGAAGCTTCGTTTAGGGCACGCACGAGAGGGAAATTTTGCGCGTTAGGGTTTCTTCGTCCGTGGCGCTCGCTCGGTGATCGATCCATCTCTTGGCGCTGTCCAGGTAAATTCGCTGCTAGATCCCCAGGATTGAGCGCCGCATTCGCCGTTCTTTGCGAAATTTTGCTCTCGAGTGTGGTGTAGATGGCCGCTTCCTTGCGAAAGCCCGTGTTTATCAAGGTCGACCAGCTCCGCCCGGGCACCACCGGGCACACGCTCGTCGTCAAGGTGGTCTCGTCGAAAATGGTGCTCAGGAAAGCGAGACCCGACGGCCAAAACGTTCGCCAGGTCCGAATCGCGGAGTGTGTCGTCGGTGATGACACTGGAGTGATCATCTTCACTGCCAGGAACGAACAAGGTATTTTCACTCGTTCTTTCAGCTTGGTTTTCTTGCTTCGCTCAAGTTGTTTGGATTGGATCTAGCTCTTGTGCGATGGTTTCATTCTTACAAGTTCTTTGGATAGTTTCGTTCTTACAAGTTCTTTGGATCGTCTCGTTCTTACATCTGTCTGCAAGTTCTTTGGATTGCTAACTCCTTGTTTCTTTCTCGATTTTTTGCAGTGGATCTAATGAAGCCAGGAGTGACAGTAAACCTCCGAAACGCCAAGATCGACATGTTCAAGGGGTCCATGCGCTTGGCGGTGGACAAATGGGGAAGGGTGGAGCCAGCAGCCGACGAGAGTTTCACAGTCAAGGAAGACAACAACCTATCCGCTGTGGAGTACGAGCTTGTCAACGTCGTCGACGAGTAGACAAGCGGGATCCTTTGTGTTGGGGTGCTTTGGTTCCGGTGGCTGGGCATCGAGCAGCAGCTATGTTTCACTAGAGTGATGGAGATTGCAAGAGCAAAACCTGGTTTGGGGAAGACGAAAAAAAGTGGCGAAGCAGCGAAGAACACGAACAAGAACAAACACACACAAAAAATTCAGGGTTTTGGGTTTTGGCCTAAAGGTTTTATGGCCTTATGTTTCCTTTTTTTTCACTATAATTAGGACCTTATGAATCCAAGGTTTCTAGTTACACTCAAAAAGTTTCCAAAAAGTTTATATAGGTGATGAGATGCGGCCAGATGATCGGGGTGCCAGAGGTGTGATTCTTCTCACGGAAACCTGGCACCCATCGCTCGAAAGTTGTCACAAACATATTACATCTTTGAGGGGGAGGGAGACGGATTCAATAATTGTGAAAACTGTAATCACAGGAAACGTAACTCGCGATGAAGCGCTAGGTATAGATGAAGCTGGAGGATTTGATGCTAAACCGGAAGCCATTGCTGGATCTGGGGGCTCGCCGGAGTCGTCGTTATTGTCATCAGATGAAACAGAGGAAAGTTCTAGTGGTGGTGCTGCTGCAATGGATGAAGAGGATCGTTTTGCTCTTATAGCAAACATGAACAGCCAACTAAGGGCACTGCCTGATTTGGAGGTTTCAAGCATGCACAGGAAGAACATAACATCTTCAACTTCACAGCCAGTTTTACATGATTTTATGCACATATCTTCATCTTCCAGTGCAGTTCTTCATGATCTTGTGCCACTCAAAAGCTCAAGTTTTTCTAATCCAAGGCCTCGTGAAGCTCAGATTTTGAGTGACTGTAGGGTGCCGATTGGGCTGGGCAAGCCCGGTTTGGAGAAAAGCCTGAAGAGAAAGAGATCAATGGCGTTTAAGCAAGACACTGAAAAGCTAGTTCCGTGTATATTTTGCGGCCAGGAGACTAGATTTGATTACTTTAACAACAAGGAGCATGACCAACAGCGCCTAAGATGTTCCGTCTGCAAGCGGAAGTTTACCAGCGGTGCGAGAGTGAGGGGTGTTGAACGGGTGAAGGATGCTAGTGTTTTTTTCCTGAATAAAATCCATCTTATGGCTTCTTTATTCAGGTGTTGGCGCACCAGATTTTGTACAATACGAACTAATTATTCTTTTGCAAAGTCTCATTAAGGCTTTTGCACACACAATTTTGATAAAATAAATCTCATTCTGCACAGCAAGATTTGGATATATAACCTTTGTTTCACAGAACCTCTAAATTATCCAAGCAGCCTTTAAAGTCTTTTTTATTTCACAGTTTCTTCCCTCAAGAATCTATGTCTTCACTACTACCATTCATGCCAGCACTTTGGCCATGGGACAAGGTAACTGGAAGATTATTCCAGAAATCAATCCATTCTGAGATTCTCTGTGGCAAAGGTGAAGCTTGGCCCTGTAAAGGTCTCTCCAATGGGATTGGGAACTTGGGCATGGGGTAACACACTGCTGTGGGGATACAATCCCTCCATGGACAACGAGCTTCAGCAGCTCTTCAACTTTGCAACTTCCAAGGGTGTTAATTTCTTTGACACAGCGGATTCGTATGGCACAGGAAAACTGAATGGGCGAAGCGAGATTCTTCTGGGCAAATTTATCCGGGAGTTCCAACAAGGTTTAAGATCTTAATCCACATTTGCGCTTCTCTCAATGAAACTCTGTTCTTCCCAGGCACTCAAAAAGATATTGTGATTGCCACCAAGTTTGCAGCTTATCCATGGCGAGTTACACCATGGCAAATGGTTCAAGCTTGCAAGTAAGTTTTCTCCTTTTTACGTGATTTTGGAAGTTTGTTTTCTTTGGTTTTCAGAGGATCTTTGCGAAGATTACAACTGGAACAGCTTGGAATTGGTCAGCTGCATTGGTCAGCTGCAAATTATGCTCCATTCCAAGAACAAGCACTGTGGTCCGGCCTTGCGGAAATTTACAAGGAGGTATGCTCCAAGTTAGTTTGCTACGACGGTAAGAAAAAAACATGATAAAATTACTGCCAGGGACTTGTGAAGGCCGTGGGTGTAAGTAACTATGGACCGAAGCAACTGGTAAAAATCCACAAGTATTTGGAAAAGCAAGGAGTTCCTCTAAGCTCTGCCCAGGTCTAGATAGTCCTTTCTTCTTTGGAACTTCTTGTTTGATTTTCAGGTCCAATTCTCTCTTCTAAGCATGGGGACCGATCAAATGGAGGTTAAATCCGTGTGCGATGACTTGGGAATCAAAGTCATTGCTTACAGTCCTTTAGGACTTGGAATGCTCACGGGAAAATACCAAGCGTCGTCAACCATCTTTCCACAGGGACCGCGGTATCTGAGAAATTCTCTTTTGATCCACCATTACGTTAACACGTACGCGCAGGGGATTGCTCTTCTCTCGAGTTTTGCCGGGAATTACACCGCTGCTGGACGCCCTGGAAGAAATCGCGAGAAAAAGGAAGAAGACAATGTCACAGGTAATCAAATTCGATTCCACTGCTGAGATCTTTCTTATGCCTTTTGCGTTCGTCCAAAAGGTAGCCATCAACTGGTGCATTTGCAAGGGAACGATCCCAATCCCCGGAGTCAAGACCCTGGATCAAGCACGAGAGAACCTGGGCGCGCTTGGCTGGCGGCTCTCCAGCGACGAAATCGCCCAGATCGAAGCAGCAGCAGCGAATTCTCCCCAGAAGATGATCCAAAACATCTTCCAGACGAAGTGAAAGCTTTCGCGCGCAAACTCAGAAGTTTAAAAAAGATTTTGAAATCTAGGGCTTGCAAATTAGGGCTTGCGGCTCGAATACGTCCCAATCGGGATCCAAAGAACACGCCAGCATTTCTTGAATGATTCGCGAAGTAAGCACTGCCCATTTAGCGTACGGCATCCACGTCACCAAGAGTGCCCTAATAATTTTATTCTTTTTCTCCGGCAGTGCGTGTGGATCGCCCTCGTTGCGTGTTTGCGCGCTCCCTCTTCTTGTTCTTCGCTGCTGCTACGCCGCCGGTTCCACTGGCGCCGCGCTCCAATCTCCCCCGCCGATCGGATTGACGCCTTCCCCGCCGCGCGGCCGTTCCATCGAGGTGCGTATTGCTGCCCGGCGCATCGGATCCAACCTAGGGTTTCGCTCTTCGGCGCGTTTCCAGTGCGCGGCGGGGAAGGGTCTCATTCTCGCTCTCTCTAGCTCTCAATTCCCTCCAGATTTCCCTTTTTCTTCTCTCTCCTCCCTTTCCTCCCTTTTGGAGACCTAAGGCGGCTATGGCGTCATCTCTGGACAAAGGCTTCGCGTTCCAGCGACCGTGTTACTCCTGGGGCGATGTCGCGTGGGTGGAATTCGACACAAGCGGGCAGCAGCCTCCTCCACCGTACTACGATCACAGCTATGGCGGCGGTCTCGAGTATGCCAACTTTGCTCCATTTCCTTCGCGCCCGCCCGAGAAGTTCTCCTCGTATGGGACGAAGTTGGGCTGGTGTGGCGATGGGAGGGATTTCGTCTCCGTCCTCCAGTGGTACTGCTACTGGCTTGGGATCAACCCAGCGATTTGCTGCCAACTTCCAGCCGAGGTGGTCACCGCGGAGATCCTCAAGCAGGGCGCACAAGAGCGAGAGGTTCTTCCATCTCCCGGCCCTCCACACGAGGCCTTCCGGTACGTGATCCACTACCTCGGGCTCCAGGAGCTTCTTTCCCTGGAGATGGTCTGCAAGCCTTTGCTGGAGATGGTGAGGCGCGAGGCTCCACACTGGCAGAACTTAAGGCTGGATCCGCCCCTGGACTTGAAGCTCACGGACACCGCGCTGCTGATCCTGGCGCTCCGAGCCCAGGGACGCCTCCAGAGCCTCAAGCTCGCGAACTGCCAGAGGATCACGGATGCGTCGCTGGAGAGTGTTCTCGCTGGCAACACCATGCTTACAAAGGTGAGCAAAGTTTTCTCTGTTTTCTGCGTTTCTTACACACTTTGTTGGTGATCTTGTTCTTTCCAGTTGGACGTGTCCTGTTGCAAGGGATTGACGATCGAGGGTGTCGTGAAGATGGCTCAGCGGCACACACTGCCCGGATACCAGCGCTTGCGGCGGCTGCGCGTGGAGGGCTTGAACGACATCACCAAGGAGCGCATCCAGGAGCTGCGCGAGGCGCTCTGCCCGGACAAGTGCTGGCCGCTCTACTATAGGCTCACGCACAGGGGCTACGGCGACAGGGTCCTGGACGTGGAAGCATGCCCGAGGTGTGATCTTCTCCGGGTGGTTTACGACTGCTGGAGGACCAAGTGCCACGAGAAGTGGTCCGCGGGGGAGCAGCAGTGCCGGGGCTGCCTGAGCTGCGTTCCCAGGTGTGACAACTGCGGTGGATGCTTCGAGAATGGGGACTTTGAGGAGACGTTCGCGCTCGACTTTATGTGCCTCAAGTGCTCGAGGCTGCCGGTGGAGGCGACGTTCCCAGGCACGGGGTTTGGGTGTGGATCGCTGTCTTTCCACGACCAGAAGACGGTGGAGGAGGAGTGGAGGCTAAAGCAGCAGCGGCAGGAACAAGAAGAGGGGAAGAAGAGGGCGATCTTGGGCGATGGCTCGATCGGCAGGAATGGGATGATGCTACTAGCAACGATGGAGGGATCATCGAGAGAAAAGACCAACAAAAACCATAGCTACAGCAACACCAACAACACTACTATCGGCAAGAACAACAAAATCAACCATAGTATCAACGATTCTTTTGTAGGAGGAAGGAGGCAATAACGCGGCCCCCCCCCCGAAGCGAGCGAGCGAAGGTCAGGCACTCTTTTCATTTTCTTTCTTCTTTGCTTCTTTTTTCTTTTGGAGGATTCATCGTGAGATTCGATTTTGGAGGACTCAAAAAAGTTAGCGCCAGGCAATCTCATGGGCGGCTGGTAGATTCTTTTAGCGTGAGAGAGATCAGGAAAAACGAAAACAAAAAAAAAAAGAGGATTGGAGGAGAAAAAGTGATGTAAATATTTTTTGAGAAAAAAAATTAGAAATGACGTAGGTGAAACGAAAACAAGGATTTTTTTCGTAAAGTAGAAAGTAGATAACTTACAATCTTAGCTCTTGATACGTTATGAGAACCTTTCCAAGCAAAACTGGAAAGACAAGCCAATTAGCATAGATTTTCTTGCAAAGGGAAGCGTACCAAGAACAAACGTGCAAGCTCGAGATGACTCGTGCAAGCTCACTGTCGCGATGGAACAAAACTTACACAATCTTTAATAATTGGCGAGTGGAGCATTAGTATCTCTCAAGAGAATCAAGCCCGAGAGCAACGTTAAAAGGATGTAACTTAGTTCTTCAATTGTTTGATGATGGCGTCAAGGGAAGATAATGTTCCTCCCACAGCGCAAACAATTCCAACCAGCATTATACCAATACCAAGAGTAAGCTGGAAAAGCACGCTTAAGCCTTTTTGCCTTGAGAAAAACACTTAGCTTACCTCCATCAAGCTTAGTTTGCTGCCTCTGATTCTCATGTAGCACGCACAAGGAAGAATTAAGGACTGAGACGTAAGCACCATAAGCTTTACCACAGCAAAAAGAGGAAAAGAAACATTACCACTGCCATGCTAAGGAAAGATCCGATAAACGCCATCACAAAGCCTGCACGGTTACTTCGTATCGGCGCTTATAGCGATCAAAGGCTGTGTTTACCGAAAAATGGTACCGAGATGGCAACGACAACTGTCGAGGCGACTAGCAAGGTACGGATGACAATGGAGGCTAGATGCTGCTGGAAGCGAGAGCTGTTGATCGGCAACAGCTCCTCAAGACTAAGCGCTACCGGAGTGATCGTCAGTGCGTATCTGTTTCGAGTTAAGCCAGAAAAATAAAACGTAAAAAGATATGACGCAGTGGATACTTCGTAAAAGGATTGATAACCTGCACATTCGAAGCACCATGAGTAACTCAGAGGAAAAGAAAGAGCGCGGCAATGCTTACGATCGTCCAAAGTGCAATCTTCGAAGCCACAAACTCCTTTGGCATGTTGAGAGTGACCTGAGACCGAGTTTTATCGCCAAACATTTTGTATCCCATGGCTGCCACAGCACCGAAAAGCCCAGCACACAAAACGAAGCTGCAAGAGAGGCAGTCAGAGAAGAAGACAAGCGAGTATAGATTGAATACCTGATGGTTAGCACGCGATTGTATCGACTTTTGTTCTTCATGGACGTGTATATGTTTGGAAAAACGGCGTGTCCGGAGTAGCAAAATCCATACAAACCAAGCGACACTGGCAATCCAGCTATGTCAATGAACTTCCCAGTTTCGTGGAATCCTATTCCGTCCACTGCTCCAACCCAGAAGACCGTGAAAACAACAATAAGAGACGCGACAACTCCACCGGCTGGAGAACGAAAATTGCTTAGAGTATGCTTGCCTGAAGACAAGAAGATCACGCTTACCTGAAACATAAGAGAGAAGATGGAGATTTCGTAGCCAGACTGTTGGAAGGATGAATAACGCAGCAAGAATGGCAAAAAGCTTATGTGAATCCAGCGTATACCCGAACAAAGATAGTTGTGTTCCTGGAAATAATACCGAGAGGTTGTCTCCTTCGAGTATCAAAAACTCGACACAGCAGGCCTGTGAGCAAAAACGTGATTAACGTCAGAGATCCCAATGCATTCCGGGGTGTACTTACGTAGAGTTCCACGTACAAAACAATCTGGCCAGTGTGAAACACACAAAAATTAAAACGTTGGAACTCAAGAGAACTTGATTGAGTGGCTCACCGAGATGATCAGTCGTCCAATGCTTCCAAAAGCTGCCTGTCCAATGTCTGGATATGTTTTCAGCCCCGGCCTGCTTTCCAAACATTTTCGCAAGATAATACCGGTGTAGCAGCAAATGACGGCTAGTGAGAAAAGTAGAACCAATCCAATCCAGCCTCCTTGTTTCACTGCATAAGGTGTAGTCAAGATCCCAACACCAGCAAGAACATTCATTCCTGTAACAGAAAATGTAAAAAGAGTTAAAGAAAATGAAAGACAAACGTACCATTCAGCAATGCCTGCGTAAAGCCACAGCCTTCATCTTGAGGTTCTCTCGGAAATCCGTGAGCGATCGTAACAATGGAAGGTTTCCTTTCCACCAAGGTTGTAGTGTCGGTGGAAGTTGCCTGATCTTGTCCCTGCGCTGATAAGAGTTGGCTTTTGAGATCCTTTTCTTCGTCGTCTTGCAAGTACGACCGCTTGCCAGCCGAGGAGGATAAAAACGATCGAGTCAGGCTCGCGGGGCTAAGAATGCTGAGCTTTGGAGGTGTCAAGAAGCTATAAGCGTCGATGGATTGCCTGCAGCCATAAAACAGCAGATCAATCATACAGCAAAATTGAGAAGTTCTCTCGAGCGAATTTGCTCATTGCTGGAGACTTGGATCTGGAAACAATGTTAACAATCCTAACTTCATACCTGTAGCTCTGAGGCCACAGAGTCACTTCGTCCTCATCTTGCTTTTCTTCATCGCACTCCTCCTGCTCTTCTTCTTGTTCTTCATCGTCAACATCACTATTGTGTGCTGCATATTGGCGCTGGGGAAGGTAGCCTTTCTGTGGAACATACATTGTGCAGGTTCACAACTTCACTGTGCTCCAATGGCAATGAGCCTACAAAAGAGGAGACATATAATGTTTAGATAGAGGCCATTCCAATCCATCCCTTAAAGAACGCAAAGAGCTGTCCGTCCCATGAGGCAAGCCAAGGATATGTCCCTTGGAATATTCTAGACCGACTGACAGCAAGCAAAGGCACGAACTTTGTCCATATGAGAACACACAATGAAGTCATGCAAGAGAATGCTTAGGCCTTTTAAAGCTTAGAAGACCCACACTAAAAAAGTTTAGACGAAAGAAAAACAAAACAAATATCTGATGTAAGTTCATCTCTGGCAGTTTTTGTCTGCTCACGCTTGGAGTAAGACGTAGCAACAGCATAAACAGTTTGTACACGGAGTCATCTCTATCTGAAACCAGGAAGACTGCCTATGATGCACCAATATAAAGAGGTCTAGATGCGATGCATCGCTCTTCTAACAGCAGCCTCAAGCTTTGGTTCATCTCACGGGGAACCAAAGCAATTTTTCATCAGCTCCATAACTTCTACTTTGCTTATGAGTACCTTAGATCTGGTGTAAACGATCTTCAGGACGTTAGATCCTTCCAGTCTGCTTGAACAAGTCGTCAGAACCGAAAGAGGACGATCAGTGACAAACCTCTTGGAGTATCCCAAAAGAAGAAAGGCTCTCTCACAGCTCAAGCTTCCTCCTTGGCAGTTTTTTCCACCTTGGTGGTCGAGAGGATGGAGAGTGTCAAGTTAAGTCCAGCCTGCACGGGTTGCACAGTGCCACCAACGTCACGCCATATCAAAGGATACGACATACCCAGCTCTTTGCTCTTTTTGATCACCGCCCCCGTTTTTGGGTGCTCAGCACCAGGCTTGAAAGCATCCAAGTTTGTTTCTCCGGCTGCTTGTGCCTCGCGTGCCGGGATCACATTCTCCCACCAAAACTCGCTGAGCAACCCGTGTATCAGTGTCCAGTACTCCGGATCCTTGGTCACCCGGAAGCAAGCACTGCTTTTGCCGGTCCATACGTAGAAATCCATCCATTCCCTCCCGATTATCTCCAGCAGCCCCTGGAGCTGGGGGACGTAGTAGTGAGGAACTTTGGCCCATGGAACTCCAGCGTTTCTCCTCCCTCTCATGTGTGGACACTTCACCTCGAGAATTCCTTTCTTCTCGAACAAGTCGGACTCGTTGCCTTCGATGAGACCATCCGGCGAAGCACCAAGCCAGCTAAACTTCTCAGCTTGCTCGCCACCACCTTTCTCTTCCCGGAGTGTTTGCTGTTCTTCGTCCTCCTTGTAGATTTTAAAACCAATGTGATCCACGAGATGGCCAGTGATCCTCTTGTAGCTCTCCACCGCGGCGGATTCGTTCTCCACACCCCATCTGGTCGCCTGGTTTCCTTTGAAAGCGCCTCTAAGCCCGACCTTCTCTTCCCACAGCTCGATCCTCTTGCCTTTGAAGAACCCCAGCGCATTCGCAAATGTGCTGGCCGTGAGACGATCCTTGCGAATTTCCAGCCATTCCTCCGTGCCCTGCTCGAGCGCGCAGATTTTCAATCCTGGCCCTGGAATGCACCCGATCGACGCAGCTCCGCTACAAAATCTTTGCCTCCTGCTGCAAAATCTTGGCCTCCTGCGGCGATCGATGCCGCGCAAGCTTGCGAATCCAGCAATCCCGGGGAAATGCAGCGCAGTGACGCGCATCGACGAGCACTCGATCTTACCGGAAGCGCGCCAGAAATCCGCCGCCACCAGCATTCTTAGGGCTCTTTGGAAGACATGCCCACCTACCTGGAACCAATCCCCTTCGTCAATTCAAAATTCCATCCAACGGACTAGAACGGTTAAATCCCAAGGTTCCCATCGCGCCACGTGGAGATAAGCCGATTGAGCGGCTGAGGTTGTGACAGGTGTGAATATGTACTGTTTTTGGATGTACTCTATTTATGATCAAGATAGGGTTTTTGGTGTCCAGCGAAAGGGGGAAGAGGGCAGAGCGGAGATGCAAGCACTAGGGTAGAAGCGAATTAGGTTTAGGGCTCTTCTTCTCGCTCTCCTGGCGTCTAGGTGCTAGCTCCAGCGCGGGAAGCTTTCTGCGCGCTGCGATCGATGGTTTTTCCTTCTCCATGCTTTCCCTCTGCTGCATTAGGTCTGTGCAGAGGTTAGGGTTAGGGTTCTTCACCGGCTTCGCGAGCAGCTGAACGCGCCAGGTACTTCAGTTTCATCTAGGGTTTAGCAGCTCTAGAAATTCTCGCAAAATTCGCGCGATTTCGTGCGTCCCAGGCTGTGATCTCTAACTCGGAGTACCGCAGGAACATGACCGTGGGACAACAAAAGCAGAAGTGGACTGCTGAGGAGGAGGCCGCGCTTCGAGCTGGGGTCGAGAAGTATGGAGCTGGGAAATGGCGAGCGATTCAAAAGGACGAGGAATTCGGGCCAGTCCTCGTGTCCCGATCGAACGTAGACTTGAAGGTTTGGAGTTTCGAGAGATCTGCCTTGAAACTTCTAACTCTTTGGCTTGGGTTCTACAGGATAAATGGAGAAACATAAGTGCCACGAACAATGGCAACAGAAATAGAGGCAAAGGCGCTGGTCAAAAAACCGGGGGACGGCGAGCGAAGTCCCAGGATGGCTCGGATAAGGAGGAGCTATCTCCCGTTCCCGACTCGGAAAAAAAGATGCTTGGTACCAAGTGAGTTTATTCTGGCTCCTAGCTTACCAGTGCCGTGAGTTACTCCCTCTTGTCAGGTATGATAATCTTATACTTGGTGCGCTCTCGGCATTGAAAGAACCAAATGGTTCCAGCATAACTGATATCGCGGAGTATATAGAGGTTTGCAATCTTTTTCTTTCTTGTGTCCTGATCTTGAGCTTTGTGGCTGCTGTGTAATGTAGGAGCGGCAGTCTGTACCCCCGAGTTTCAAAAAGCTCGTGGTTTCCAAGCTAAAGTCGATGGTGCTCGAGGGAAAGCTAATCAAGGTATGCCGCTGTATGCTTGTGCTTATAACTTCTAAGTTTGTATCTTATCCTAAAAGTACGGGGCCATGAGTTGAGTAACAGGTGCATCAGAATTATAAGATTAATGACGAATTTCCATCTGATGGAAGGGCCAAATTCCAAAGGCTTCGGAACAACCAAGATGACAAACAGCCGACTTTCTCGAGGGACATCACACGGAAGCTGAGAACCGACTCCATTGCCAAACGAACGAAGCTAGACCCCGACGCTTTGGAAAGAAGGAAAACCGCCGAAGAGGCTGCCAGAGTCGCGGCTCTGGCTGTGGCTGCCGCCGAGCAGGCTGCTCTAGCGGCGGAGCAAGCCGCGAGAGAGTCGGAGCTCGCGGATCAAGACCTCGAGATGAAACAAGCGGCTGCTGATGTCGCGCTCGCAGCTACCAGGACGAAAAAACGTACGTTCTCTCAATTTTTTGAGTTTGATGCTGAAGTTTTCCTCTTGTTTCTCCCAGCAATGAAGGCAGTGGCGGCCATGGGACGAGAAGTGGTGGCTGTAACTGTGTAGCTTACTGTAACAACGCTCTACGTATTTGCTACTGAACAATGTATAGGCTGGGTTAAAAGGTGGGCGTCCTGCAAACTCTCTTGTATAGATTTGTCGATCGACGCATACAGGAAGAAGGAAAAATGGGGGGAAAAGCTCTTTTTCTTTTTACTTTTTTTTTCTAGCATCTTAAAAACACTTTTTCCTTTTAGCAGCAGGAAGAACAGTTGACTTGTAAATTATTGGAGCTCCATGGATTCTCTACGATCATAAGTTCCATGAGAAAAAAATGTTAGCAAGACTTTGGGGTCCAAAGTAGCCACCATTTTCTAGGGAAAGATTTGTATGCCCACAACAAACATAACATCATATGTGGAAAAAAAAAAGCCATGTTTTTTCTCCCACTTGTATGGGCAGACGAGCTCGCTTTGTTTGTTTTATAGTGCTTGTCGTATATAGCGTAGCTACCGAGATATATACCCCTTGGATACGCAAAAATTTGAACGCCAGCCGTTGGATGTCGAGTCCAAGCTGTCCTCTGCCATTGGATCTCAACGAGATTTGCCCGCCACCTTTCCAGGCATTGGCACAAATCACGGCCGTCGTCAGCCACGCGGGCGCTACGATGTCACAATCACGCGGCGGAGTGGAAGCGGCGCCACTGTACGCCCACCGAGCGCCGCCGCTGTGTAGAAGGCGGCGCTTACACCACGTCACGGCCAGGCTGGCGCTGACGTGGTTTGTTTGACCGAGCGTTGCTGAGCTGTTCGAGAGAGGGCCGTTGGATGGTGTGGATCCGACGGCTGTGGGCCTGGCGTTGCTTGGCTGGGTCCAGGTCTTCCATGGCGCAGTGAGCGCGATCAAGGCGTTTGCTCGGCGTTTATTTCTCTTTCGCTGGAAGGAAGATGTGAGATCGATCGATCTGGCATTTAGGGTTTAGCAGCAACGTGTTGAAATAGTTCATCGCGATCGCGTGTTGGGACGCTTGGAAAATCCCTTTGTCTTTGTGTGTGTGTGGCTTCTCCTAGAAAGTTTGGGCTTGCTTCTTCTCTTCCTCGGCACTGGACGCTTTCTTTCTCTTTCTTCCTTTTCTTTTGATTCTTTCTTCCTCTATCCAGCCTTGGCTATGGCGGTCGAGCGAGGTCGGGCAGTGGGCGGCATTGGGTGCTAGGTCGCGAACCGAGCGAGCGCGTGGATCTTGGAATTTCGCGCACAGATCGATCGATCGGGAGGAGAAATAGCTCGTTGCGAGAGATCGGGGAGCTAGAGATGATTGACACGCCACCGACTAGCAAGAACAGCAAGGATCACGGCAAGGAGTTCACCGATTTCCAATGGCTGCTCGCGGAGCTAGATCGGATGTGGTTCCACGACAATGCTTTCAGCTTCCCGTTGGGCGACTGGATCCGATCGAGCTGCTGCTGGTCGTGGGATCAGTGCTGGCAGTCCCCGGAATCCCTGGACAAGAAGAACAAGAGATCGTGGATTCCCCCAGAAATCCAGTCCGTGGAGATGGAGGCGGTGATTCGGCCGTTGCGAGAGACTGGCAAGGTTTTCAGCACGGGCGACCTCCCTGGCGCTGGATTCAAGCTTCTTAAGGATGAGTCTCTAGAGGAGGATCAATGCGGAGGCGCGATCTCTCCGGAGTGCGTCTCGGATGGAGGAGGGGTGGTTGTTCTTGACGAGGTAAGAAAGAAGTTCTTCTTCCTTTGTTTGTTTGCTCCCCCCCTTTTGTTGCTTGTGTTCTTGGCTCTTTGGTTTTGCCCAGCATTGATCGTTTCGATAAGAAACTCTTACTCGTTTCCTCGATTCACGATTTTTTTGTCCCAATTCCTGGCTGGAGGCTCTTGCACGAAGCATCTCCACAAAAAAAAAAAGTTTTTTTCTTCTCGCCGGAGAGGCACTGATCGATTCGTTTCGTCTGTTTTGATCGATCCATCCAGGAGGACGAATTCACGACGCGGAAGCTGGAAACGATCCCGTCGGCATCGGCATTGTTCGTCGCCGACGAGCCCACAATCCAAGGGCTCGAGCGCTCCGAATCTTCGCCCGCCGCCATCGCCGCCACCGCCGCGTCTCCGCCAAACCCGCGCCGGCGGCGGCGATCATCGCAGCGCAGCAAGACCACGCGGAGCTGGAGCGAGCTGGAATTCGACGAGGTCCGCGGGTTGCGAGATCTGGGCTTCAAGCCCAGGGAGGGAGATCTCATGCCCCGGCGAGTGGTGAGCCTGGCGACGAGCACAGCCAGATCATCGCCCCGGCGCGAGCGGATCTATCCATCCCACGCCTGGAGCATCCGGAGGCCCGATTCGCCGCTCCTCAACCTGCGAATGCCGGATCCAAACCGGCAGGGCGTGGAGGACATGAAGGCGCATCTCAAGTTCTGGGCTAGGGCTGTGGCATCCACTGTGCGCCAGGAATGCTAGAACGAAGAAGAACAAACGAGGAACACATTCTTTGGTATATCCTCCAGCGCGCGGTGGCATCGTGGTGGTATATTATCTCGGCCAGTGCGGCGGCGATGTGAATGCTCCAGACTGGCTGGAACTGGAACTGCAAGATTCGACCGTGTATCATAAATACATATTTTACCGCAATGTAACAAACTAGACGACCATGGCGTCAATTTTTCTACGTCATCTAGCTAGGATACATCCGCTATTCACCATGGTGGCATGCATAACCATTGCGGTATATTCTTAAGCACCATTGTGGCATATTCGTTACATTATAAATGTAAAAAATAACATAGAATATTCTTTAAGATCATTGTAGTATATTTGTCTATTGTGGTATATTCTTCAATTTATGAATGAATTGGCGGCGCGCTTGAGGAGCTGCGCCGCCGCCAAGGATCTCCAGCAGGGCCGGAGGATCCATCGCCTTGTCCGGGAGCATCGCTTGGAGGGCGATCTCTTCCTCGGCAATCTCCTCCTCCATTTGTACGCACGATGCGGCGCCTCGGACGACGCCAAGGCACTTTTCGATGTCATGCCCGATCGAAATCTCGTCTCCTGGAACATCTTCGCCGCGGCATTTGCCGCCAGGGGCTGCGAGATCGTGTGGAAGGTGTTCGATCGCTCTCCCGGCTGGAGCGTCGTCTCGATCAACACTGTTCTTGGGTCTTGGGCGAGATCAGGATCGTCCGGGAGGACGGAGGAGGCCAAAGCTCTCTTCGATCGCGCGCCGGAGCGATGCATACTCTCCTGGAACTCGCTCCTGCTGGGGTACAATCACCGGGGTTTGATCCAGAACGCGCTCGCGCTGCTGGATAGGATGCCGCAGTTTGATGTTGTTTCCTGGACAGACGCTCTCGCGGCACTCGCCCAGTCCTGGGATCTTTCCGGCGCTCGCGCGCTCTTCGATCGAATGCCCGAGAAGAACTCCGTGTCCTGGAATGCGATTGTCACTGCGTATGTGGAGAATGGAAACTTTCCACTCGCGCAATGCGCGTTTGGATTGATGCCGCGCTGGGATCCCGCCTCGTTCAACGCTCTTCTTTCGGGATTTGCCCGGTTTGGGAATTTGGAAGAGGCGAAGGTCTTGTTCGATCGGATGGAGCTACGCAGCGTGATCTCTTGGACATGTATGATCACAGCAAGCACAGTGTCTTCTAGTTTGATCTTTGCAAGAGAGCTCTTCACACGGATGCCTGGATGGAATGTAATCTCTTGGAACGCGATGATCACCGCAAATGCCCAAAAAGGGCATTTGGACGAGGCAGTGAGTCTCTTCAAATCCCTCCCGGAAGAAGACAAGAGTCTGTGCTCCTGGAACGCGATGATCGCCGCCCACCTCCACAGCGGTTGCTTCGACGGATCCAAGGCAGTGTTCGATGCGATGCCCGCGAGGGACGTCTCCTCCTGGAACAATCTTGCTGCCGGGATCGCCGAGCACAAGCCCGTCACTGCCGCGAGAGCTTGCTTCGATCGAATGCCCGCCTGGGACGTGATCGCCTGGAACATCCTCCTCTCGGCCACGGCCGAGGCCGGGGATCTGGGCGAGGCGCGCAACATCTTCCACGCCATGCCCGCCAAGAACTCCTTCTCCTGGAACGCGATCCTCACCGCCAGCGCGCTAAACGGCCACGCCCAAGACGCCGAGAATCTCTTCGGCCGCCTCCCCGACAAGAGCTCCTCCGTGGCCTGGAACGCGCTCGTCTCCTCGTACGCGCGGAATGGCCAGGGGACGGTTGCGTTGCGGAATTTCCACCAGATGGTGCTCCACGGAATCCCATCCGACGGTGTCACCTTCACCAACGTGCTGGTGGCGTGCAGCCACCTCGGAATGGCGGAGACGAGCTGGCGCTATTTCGCGTCGATGGTTTCGGACCATAATGTGAGGGCGGAGCGTGGACATTTTGCGTGCATGGTGGACATTCTGGCCAGGCTTGGGAGGCTGGGCGAGGCCGAGGAGCTTGCGAGGTATATGCCGTTTCTTCCAAACTATGTGGTGTGGAAGTCGGTGTCGAGTGCTAGTAGGATGTACTGCGATGTGGATAGAGGTACACGGGCGGCCCAAAACGCGATTGACTTGGAACCAAAACATTCTGGCTCTTACCTCTTGCTCGCAAATATGTATAAATCTAATTCGTGTTAAAGCTGTGATAGTCTTTAGATATGCTCATCCTCTGCTATAAACATGTTTATACTTTCGGCGAATTTATATTCTCCCTGGGATTGGATCAACAACATCCAATTGTGGGCAATTGCATCACTATTGCAGATCAATGTTTCAAGTGTGGCTCTTCTGGAAGAAGGATTGAGTTCTTAACTTATAAATAATATTCATTATAATGTTTTTTATCTTTTCAGTTTGATAAGAAAGAGTGACACAGGCAAACCAAATGGAGCAATAGCAAGGTTCCTAGGAAAAAAATTAAAGAATTGAAGTAAGTCTGCAAAAGCAGTCATGCCTCAGCAAATTATTGGACATTTATATAAAGAAATGTTAATTTAATATAAAGATCAGTTAAAGACATATGTGCCAGAAAGGTGACGAGTGTGAATACTACAATAGACATGTATGTACCAGAGTGTTATGTCCAAGGTGACAAGTGTGAATACTTCTTTCGGAAGTGGAGCTAGCTTTATGCGTGAGTGCTAGAAGGAATCACTGTAATTCTCACTCACAAGATCCCCCAGGCACGTATAAAAAGACCCCCACTCTTCCATTCCATGGCTCGATCACTGGGACAAACAAGGTAAGCAAGAGCAAAGAGGCCGAGAACAATTCTATGCAGTAGCTTTGGCACCGTAACTTTGTTTCCAGCCTTTGGCAATGGAGAAGTTTGTAGCTCTCGTTCTCGCTGTTCTTGTTCTAGCCGCGATCGCAAGGAGCGAAGGGGCGACTTGCAACACGATCCAGCTCGCGCCCTGCCTCAGTGCCGTGCAAAAGGGTGGAGCTACCAAGACTCCATCTACATCCTGCTGTTCTAACATCAAGAAGTTCACTCCCAAGTGCCTGTGCGATAGCGTCCAGAGCAGTCTCGCTCAGAAGTACAATGTGGACATCCCCACCGCGCTCACCATTCCCAAGCGCTGCAACGTCAACTTTAATGTTCCCCCCGACTACACCTGCGCTGGTAAGATTGCTTGCTCACCTCCGCGATCAGAACGACTTTGTTTTGTTGTCTCAGGGTACCAGGTTCCTCGTGAAGTTCCAACTTGAGCTTCCAGGAGCGTAAAGTTCCCCGGGTGTCTAAATAAGATTTTAGATCATAGTGATCTGGAAAACTTGTCGGTATGACAGCAATCGATCAGTATGTACGAGAAAGAAGATGCAAATAGCGAATGCTTACGTTTGAGCTCGTTAGAGACAGCTATCCCGCAGATGCACCAAAATACAACTCGTGAACGTCCTTAACAATGCCAATGTTGACTCGCGCAACATCCAACAGGTCGGGCTCTTTGATGATGCGAGCCAGAGCAAAGTATCTCTGGAACTGGTCGAATGCCATGTCGCGTTCGTGTTGTCTTTGGTAGAGCAATCCCAGCAAGCAGTGACCCCTCGCCTGCAATGCTAGAAAATGTGAGTAACTAGCATTGAGAGTTTACTTTTATACTTGTGTGGTGAGATCAACGTCTTCAGCTGCTTCAAGGTATAGCTCAAGATGGCTGACTGCTGTTAAAACATCTCCGCAAACTTCAAAAGCTTCAGCCATGGAAGCCCTTGCTTTGCATTCACCAGCCTGAAAAGAAAAAGAAAAACCGTCATTATCCTCATCCTGGAATATCTGTACCTTGTTTCCAGCCTGTGATGAATACTCGAGGTATTTCGTCTGATAGTCTAGCGACTTCTCCAGATTCCGTAGCTTTGCATACAACATTCCAATGTTGTATTTGGCTTCAGCACCCATTGATTCATTTCCGCAAGCCTCCGCCATCATAATAGCCTGTTCAGAATGTCACGGAAAATTCGATGAGCACGCATCGCTTACCTTTTCAAAGTATTCGATGCTTCCTGTAATGTCTTGCAGCGCTCGAGACCTCTCAGCGCAGTGCCAATATATCTGTTTCACACAAACTACATAAATCACAAGTTTCGTATGGCTGCTTTTGTTACCTCCAAAAGCTCTTTAGCAGCTTGCACAACGCGCTTGTCGTATTTAATTGTTCTTGCGAGTTGCAAGCACTCCTCATAGTTCTCGATTGCTTTGGTGCTATTATGCATCTTCCAGTAAATTTTACCAAGATTGAACTTGGCCTACAACACAAAAGTGGGTGAAGTAGTAGCACGATAAATCGTTACCTGAGACTTTTGAGTGTCATTTTTGGTTTTTATCGCCGCAGCAAGGCTTCTAGAATAATACTCAATGGATTTTTCAAAGTAGCAAGTCTTCTCAAAAATTTCCCCAGTTCCAGAATTTGCTTCAAAAACTTTCTCGTGGTCTTCTGCAAAGAAAAAAAGGTGAATCTAGGAGAACATAAATCTGCGCAATGCTTACTTATTTATAACGAGGAAGAGAGGAATACCAATTCTGGAAGCAAGCTCTGCTGCTGCTAAATTCTCACTGAGACTGCTTAGAGTTTCCTTTCGTTTAAGCTGCAAAAGAGAATACGTTAAGCTGGAGTAAATTCTAAGCAAGGAAGCTCACGGTTTTCTGGGCTTCTGCAATGGGATTGAGAATTCCAGCCTCTTCATCTTCTTTGGGAGTGGGATCGATTTTTAAGGTGGTTGTGATAGTGAAGAGCTCTGCGGCATACAAAGCGTGCCATCAAACACAATAAACAAAGTTCTTACCAACAAAAGCCTGTGGTTTTCCATCCACGAGCAAATTCTGGCATAACTCTTGCTCCGGTAGCATCGAGACATTCGTGAGTCCAATTCCCGATCGCTCGGTTCGATATTGCAACTGGAAAGATAACGTTCAAGGAAAAAGAAATGAGCGAAAGAACAAAGAATCGATAGAAGAAACGAAATATCATCGCACTCTTTCCAGCAGAAGATGCTCCAATTCAATGATCTCATTCGTGACGACATTGCGCCTGACATTCTTATCCATCCTGAGCTAGAAATCTCGTCAGCTGGAGATTCCAGCGCCACAATGCAAATCATACCTGAGACGATTTCCTCGGTAGCCAGCGCGCCGATCGCCAAGCGCCAAGAAAACCTAGGGTTCTACCGAGGAAAGAAAGAATGCGCGCTCACTCCAAAATCGCGCATAACCCCCAAAGCTCTTCCTCGTTATCTGTCCAGCGCCCCGCCAAGCAATCCCAGCCATGAAAGCAATCTCGCCACGTGGCGAAATCATCAACGGCCAGGATCGCGTAATCGCCAACGAACTAGCCGACGGCTGGGATTTGGCCTCTTTGGAAACGGACGGCCCTCAGCTTTTTTGAAATTAGGGCGCTCCAGCTTCTCTCAGGTTTGCTCTCCGGTACGTTCCTCCGCGCCCGATCATCCGTTTCGATTCGGCATTGCCAGTGAGTGGAGTCTCGCGATGGAAGCTCCAGCTCCAGAATCCTCGGAGGCCAATGCCAGCGAGCAAGTGATCGAGGAGGAGCAAGCGCCCAAGGCTGAGGAGGTTCCTGGTAAGAGAGTTTAGATGGTTTCCGGCATTGGAGTGTAAATTTTTGCTATGGCAGTGATCACTCCGGAGGAACGGCTTTGGAGCGTTGTCAAGGCGAATCCAGCGGATTTTAATGCGTGGACGGAGCTTATCCAAGAAACCGAGAAGCATGTAAGTGGTAACTTTCGCTTTGCTCTCTCTTTTCTCATTTTTTGTTGGTCTCTCCAGGATGAGATTGATCGCATTCGTGTTTGCTACGATACTTTCCTCGCGGAGTTTCCTCTTTGCTATGGTTACTGGAAGAAGTATGCTGACTTTGAGTTGCGGCTTGGCTCGCCAGAGAAGATCATCGAAGTTTACGAGCGAGCTGTGAAGGCTGTGGCTCATTCCGTGGACATTTGGGTGCACTACTGTGCCTACGCGACCGAGAAGTTTCCACCGGAAGAAGTCATCAGGTATGGCTTTTGTTCCTTTAATGCATGAGTTTTCGTGCTTTCCTGTGCTTTTTGGCAGACTTTTGTCTGCTTGGCTTCCTTCTAACGATCGGGTAATCCTTGCTGCAGCGTTTCCCTCTCGGGAATGAATTTTTTTTCTCAGAATGTTGGCGATACGGTTTGGTTTTGTTTTCCTTTCCTATGTAGTTTAGATGTTTAATCAGCTATAGAACGAACAGAAACGATGCTGCGAAGAGTTCAAGGGGACACTACGGGCGTAGTGTGTTTCTGAAGGAAGGTAACTTTGTAATGTTATAAATGACTTTTTTCTTTCTATGCTGATTGTGTCAAGTCACGTTCTTTACTTCTCTTCCTTGAAAGTAGCATGACTCTTTTTTTTTTCCCTTTTCCTCGCAGGCTGTTTGAGCGAGGAGTTTCTTTGGTTGGGACGGACTACCTATCGCATATCTTGTGGGACAAATTTATAGACTACGCATTGGCCAGGCAAGACTATAGCTTGCTCATGCAAGTGCGCACGCGAATTTTGGAAGTTCCTCTGCAGCAACTAGACCGGTATTTTATGAGGTGCGTTTAGAAAAGAGTTTTCTGATAGTCGACTAAACTATTTATTTTCTCTTGCTACAGTTTTAAGCAGTTCACAAACAACAGACATTGGTTAGATGTGAGAACAGAAGAGAAGCGGCATTTGGCGGAAACACTTCCCAGAAATGCGCACGAGTCTGAGAAGCTGATATCAGCGAAAGAGGCCATTTATAAGAAAACAAAGGAATGGGACGCTAAAATCAGGGACTTCGAGAACTCGATTCGCAGGCCATATTTTCACGTCAAGTCTCTGGACGACGCGCAGCTTGCAAACTGGCACAAGTACCTGGATTTCGTTGAGAAGGAAGCAGACATGCAGAAGGTCTGTTTTGCTCTTAGTCTCAATTTTCTTTGCTCATCAACACTTTTTGCAGGTTGTGAAGCTTTTTGAGAGGTGCCTAATTGCCTGTGCAAATTATCCCGAGTACTGGATTCGGTATGTCGAATATTTAGAAAAGCAGAACAATCTGGAAATGGCAAACGATGCATTGCACCGGGCGACCCATATATTTGTCAAGGTCTGTCTTGTTTGAGATACGCCTTGGTTTGGTTTATGACTTTATATTACAGAAAGTACCAGATGTCCATATTTTTGCCGCCAGGTTTCAAGAGCGCACCGGTGATGCTACTGCTGCTCGTAAAACTTATAAATACATAAGCACGGAGCTCGTCCCGGGCCATCTTGACGCGATTGTAAAGGCGGCTCATTTTGAAATGCGTGAGGTAAGCTCTTTCATTTGTTATATCACAAGAAGAATAGACTTTGTTTTTTCAGGGAGACAATGACGCTGCTTGTGGCGTCTTTGAGTCTGCAATTGAAGTAGAGAAAGCCAAGGAGGAGTCTAAGACTCTATCATTACTATATGTCCAGTATAATCGTTTCCTCTGTCGGGTATGCATTGTATCTCAAGCACCACGAGCTAAAACGTCCTCGTTATGTCGCAGATTGATCGCAAGTCCAAAGCTAAGGAAGTTCTGGAAGCCGCCATGGAAATTCCTCTAACAAAGATTGCTGTTGAGGTATGGAAATTCATGAAGGATTTGTTTTGTGTTTAAAAGCGTCTTTTTCTTACTGTCGCAGGCGGCGATCTATAACGAGTACCGTAGCGAAGTTAAACAACTGGATAAACTGTCCTCTCTAATCCAGCAGGCAACCAAGGCCGAGACAGGCTTAGCTCACACTGATCGCGAAGAACTTTCAAGCTTACATCTAGAGGTACGTGTCCACTTCCACTCCGGATGATTGCGAGACCGTGCTTTTCAGTTTGTAGACGCATTTGGAGACATCAACGCTGTCATGGAAGCGGAATACCGTCACGAAGGACTGTTCCCGTTCCGGAAATCATACATTGATTTTAAGAGGCGCCTGGCACACGACGCCAGCTTCAGCGATCGAGCCAAGCTCTTAAAGAGCTCCCCCGCGGCAATGCAAGCGTACGGGCAGCAACAGTGGGCCGCGGCCTACGGAGGCCAGAGCTATCCTCAAAACTGGCAGCAACAGCAAGCTCCACAAACAGCACAGTGGAATGCGTACGCTCAACAGGTTTGTGTTTTTTCTTTTATTTTCTGTAAGGCTTCCACTCCATTTGATGCTCTTTTCTCCAGGGTTATGGCTATGGTTCTTACACGGCATATGGCACTCAACAGGGCCAGGCAGCTTACAGTGCCTATGGCACGTCTCAGGTCTTTTCAGAGTCCGTCTCTTAAGTTTTTAAGTTTCTCTGGTGTCTTACTGGCTTTTTTCTCTGGATTTTCAGGACATGAATGGCTGGACAGGCACGGGCTCTGGTTCCGGCTCGTGGTAAAATAGTTTCACCGATTGGCTTGGATTCATTCTAGTGAGCAAGCAAAACTATTGGTATGCATCGACTTTTCCTTCCTTTTATTGCTGGACCGAAAACTTTGCTATGTGTAGGACTCCGAGCTAAGTATTAATCCAAAACAAAACTTCGCTCACCTCTAGTGTCTCAGAAATCTCTATGGAAGTCTTTCGTTCTCACTGCTCTCATCCAGTCGAGCTCTAGCCTGTAAGGACCCGGTCCCTGGATTTCTCCCGCCATTGTTCTCGCCGTGACATGGATTCCCATTCCCACAATCCTAGAAAGATTGATCTCGCATTGTTCTTCCAAAACTCGGCCGTGCCATGTCCTCTTGTAGTCTTTGATCGCAAGCTGCGTATACAGAACAAGCTTTTGGATCGTTTAGCTTGCAGCTATTTACCTTGTAGATTTTCCACTCGCCATTGCTTGTGTGAATTACGTGATGCCAACTATTATCATCGGCGATAGCTCTGTCAACCCAGTTCTCTGTCCGCAACTACAATGAAAAGCATGAAAAAAGAGAGAAAAAACTCAAGACGAAAAAAGAGTTTCTTACGCTGGTCATGTAGGCGCGTCCATCCCCTTTGAGACGCATCTCGATCACATCGAATGGAGCAAGATCAAAAATTCCATAGTCCTAGGAGCAAGAAAAAAACGTTTGAGTTCGAAGTAGTGATTCACTCACCCTTTTCGTGTTGAGTCCTGCGAATCCACTCTTTTTGATCCGCACGACCTTGTCCTGGTCGAGCTCCAGGCTGAGATCTCCCCAGAAAACAGCTGAAAGATCCGTGAGAAAATTAGAACTTCGAAGAAGGTGTCACGAAACCTTTGCCTTCGCTGCCCAGTCCAAAGTTGCTCGTTGACAGCCCTGAAGCAAAATAAAAAAACGAGTAGCGAAGAACTTTACCAGCTCTTCACGAACCTCCAAAGCTTTTATCCGAGTAGTGCTCCCATGCGGCAAGCTCCTTCTCTGTGGTGAGCGAGAAGAGGTGTTGCTGGCTCGGAGGCTGCAGCTGGAACACTACCAAGAGAGGCCAGGAAAAACTTTAAACTCCAAGCGAAAATTTTAGAGCGAGCAAACCTCTCTTAGCCGCAGACACCAGGTTGCGGAACATTCTTCGTCCAAGAACAAAATCTCGTTAGAGGAGTGTGTTAAAAACCACAAAATTTAACAGGAAATCGCAGAGTATTGTCAATCGTCAAGAAAACGAAGCTGAGAATCACAACAAGAAACTACGAAAACACCCATGATCTCCAATAGCGGCATTGCATCTAACGAGAAATAAGAACCAACCTCGGGTCTGCGCGACAAATCGAGACCACTTCGCTCTAGGGTTCTAGCGGGTTCTAGTAAGTCCTCTATAATCAAAGCGCAAAGTAAGTATATTTCTCTCTAATCAAATTTACAATCAAAGGGAACGTAGCCGATCTTTCTGATGAGTTCTTGGATCTCGTGGAGGGAATGGACGACGAAATCAGGCCGCCGCTCGCCGGTGAGCTCGTCAATCCTGTATCGAAACAGCGGATCAATGAGGCAAGTGATTGCTCCTGCGCTGTTGCCGCAGGCGACATCATACTTCGCAGAATCGCCCACCATCAAAACTTGGCCTGGCTCCACGCCCCACTTGTGGCACACTCGCAGCAGCGGCTCGGGCGACGGCTTCACCACCTTCTCCTGCCCCCCAAAAATCGGTGAAAATCTCCTCGACGCCCTCGCGAGCTCCTTCGCCTCGTGTTTCTGCACGTCAGCTCTGCTGCTCAACGTGATGATCGCGCGCGGCAGTGGGATTGAATCAATGAAGTCGCAGAGCTCTAATGCCCCGGGGAGTGATGCCTTGCCAGAGCTCCGGAGCGCCTTTGCCCTTTCTACAGCCTGGCGTGCTAGCTCGGCCTCGTCCTTGGATGGAAACTTGCGATTTGCGAGTGAGGATAGCAAGGCTTTGAGATCGAGCGAGGGCGGGATCCGTAGCGTTCCATCCAGATCACAAACCACCCCATGTAAAGACTTTCTCAACATTTAGCCCTAAAATAACATTACTTAGTTTTATAGTAGTAAAAGGTAGAAGGCTTAATAATGATTTATTTATTATTTATATAATACAAATAATTTATATATGTTTGATTTATTTTTAATTTTTTCTCTAAAACGAGTGCTTAATTTAGTCTTTAAACTTTTTGCATGAAAGAAAAAATCTAGTGATTTATAAACAAGGAAACATAATGATTAAACTAAATTGTTTCTTTCATGGAATCAAATCTTAAAGGTCAAGCATCCAAAGTAATGCGATGGATCACAGTTCCTGCATCTTGAAGCTTAAACGTCCATAACAAAAAGGAAACTATAGGTATTGATGCATGCTGAACAACCGCGATTAAATTACTTAATTATGATTATTACTTCTAAATAATAGTTAAATTTTTATATCTACTATATTGTCAGTCAACTTTCACCGCAAGTAGAAGTTTCCCCAGGCGACCAGCTCGTGATCCCGGTTAGAACACAAGTGGCAACTTCGCCACCCACGGTCGTCACCCTCACCGAAGTTGGAGTTGTCAAAGGGCCATCGATTTGCCACACCGCTCCCCACAGGTGAGCGGCGTTCTCCCAAGTGTTGCTTCCACTGCTCTGGACTTCCACGCTTTGAAGCGCCCCGTATCCTGGCACGTACTTCACCACGAACGCGATCCAAAACTCGTTTGATCCGGGCACAACTTCGAAGGTGATGTTGGCTGCAAAGTCGCAAGACTTCCTGGATCAATATAGAGGTGTTATTCTCTTGTGATCGACTATATCCAGATGGTTTTACCGTCTATACTCGATTGAAATGATGCCCCTGGCTCGAAGAGCGTCACCTTGACCTTCTATTGCGAGGCTCTCAAACGCTGTGCCGCTGAAGTCTAGCTGGTCCGCGGGACACTCTGGGCATTCGTCAGTCACCACCACCACAGTCGTGGGCTCCTCTCGGCAAATCGTGTCATTGACACACCTTACCTAAATCATTGATCAAATCAAATTCTCACCAAGATTCAGGAAACCTTTCACTTCTTCTGCTAGAGCTAGCAATTTACCTCGAAGCAAGCTCCACACCCAAGGCCATTGTTAAAGGTCTCGCTTCCTATGGCGACGATATTGGAATCGTAAGGAGTCCCCTCAAGTTCGCCATACCCACAGGCACCCGCTGCACAAAAGAGAATCGATCAGAACCGATGATATCATCATTTAAACATGCGACCAAACTAGCTCACTGTTTGTTCCAGTGCCAAGGGGAGGACCATACCAAGTTCCCCTTCCGGTCTGCCACTCGCTAGCATTGATCACATTGATCTCCATTGCAGACGATCTGAACAGCGTTTCATTCAGACTCCTGGCATCGCAAATCACAGCCAATACAGCAGCGAAGAACACCAGAGCTCCGAGTGTCATGAATCGATCTCCAAAAAATCTGGTGCTGCGAGGCATTCAATGTGTCGACTCTCTTTTTGTAACGGAGCCCATCCCCGCAGTTAGCGCCACAAGTCTTTCAAACTTTCAAAAACATGCGCAGGACATTCCGCCAGCAGCATATTCCGCTGCCTCGCACATTCCATCACCGGTAGCAGCATATTCCTGGTAGTAGTAGCGATCCTGGCGGGTCCCGGAACAGGGGACCAAATCGAATCGAATCCGAGAGCGACAGGCTTGGATGGATGAGATTTTCTTTCATGCGCAAGGAGGAGAAAAAAGGGGCAGGAGGGAAAAATAAGAACATAATTAAAGAAGATATTTGTTAATAATGAGGAGGTATGGCCGCCCTCGTGCCTATCCACAACCACGTCACGAGGCCTCACTTTTTATCGTTGTCGCGAAACCGATATCCGTACGCCGGCCCCCGGGCCCCATGCAAGGCCCGGGATAAGGATATCCTCGGAGAATATTCCACCGCGACAACGTTGCGGATAAGTGCCCACGCGCACGTGAGGCTGATAGAACATATAAACAACCTCAGGGCCACATGGGATTATACGAGATTAATACAAACCATGAGCCGACATACATTGGGCATACAAGGTTCATTGCATTAGCGGAAACAAGGACGTGTGGGGTAAATAATAAAGGGGAAACTTTTTTGTCCAAACATTCACTTTGGCACTAGCTAGCTAGCGAGTGGCGCACAAACGCGACACGGTTAAAGTAGATGGAATAACGCGGGGCCTTCACCTTTAAGTGAATAAGTTAATCGCCTGGGTCATGTGAGATGTTTGGTCAGCTTGACCCGGTGAATAAGAAAGAAATAGAAAGTAAAAGCTTTCATCAAAGTGGAGATGTCATCAAATCCAAAGCACTACGTGGAGGAAGTAAAAGATATTATAATCGCTATAGTACTAATGTTAAGAGCAAGGTCGTTTTCTTTTTTTTTTTCTTCGCGAAGGACACGGGGACGGGGGCTCACAGTATCAATAGTATTCTCCACTATGGCCTGCTTGAAAGTTAAAAAAGATGATGTGTGCTTACCCAATCCAAACCTTGAAGAAGCCAATATAAATGTCAAGATTCCAGGGGAATCTCGCCTATAAACTTGACACGACATCAACGTGACCGCAAAAGAAAAAGAGAAAGTCGCGCGTCGCGGGGTCGATTCCCACCTGGGGCTAGGGCACGCCGCGTTAAGGCCCGCTCGAACCTTCGCGGCGCTGCTTTGTTGACTACTAGGTCGTTAACGCGTCTGGCACTAGCGGCGTTAGCGTACGTCCCCTTGCCGTTAACCTGCAAAACGATCCGCGGCCGTGGGATTGGCCATATCGCACATGGTACGTCCCGCCACGTGTCCGTGGCATTTGTGTGACGGATCTCTTTAATCCGAGGGCCTGCACCGCGCCACGTGTCAAGCGGGAAGGGTTTTGATCCGTTTATAAGCAGAGCGCGGATAAGAAGACCGCGCGGTGCTTTGCTCGCAAAGAAAGAAGAAGAGAGGGGAGGCAGCGTAGATTAGAAGAAGATCACACAAGAAGAAGAACAGCGCGAGCGAGCTCGAGCGCGGGGATGGATCTGCATGTAGGGATGGGCGGCGGCAGCGGCGGCAATGCGTTTGGATCGGTGTCGGCCGACAGCGGGAGCTGCGACAGCCCGACAAGCATGGGGGCGCTCCACAAATTCCTGCCCTCCAACAACGAGGATTCGTGGTCGCCGGAGCACCTCTACGCGTGCGACGAGTTCCGGATGTTCGAATTCAAGGTCCGGCGGTGCATGCGCGGGCGGAGCCACGACTGGACAGAGTGCCCCTTTGCGCATCCGGGCGAGAAGGCGCGGCGGAGGGATCCCCGCCGCTTCCACTACTCGGGCACGTCGTGCCCCGACTTCCGCAAGGGCTGCTGCAAGAACGGGGACAGCTGCGATCTGGCGCACGGCGTGTTCGAGTGCTGGCTGCATCCCGCGCGGTACCGCACCCAGCCCTGCAAGGACGGCCGGAATTGCAAGCGCAAGGTGTGCTTCTTCGCGCACACGCCCGAGCAGCTGCGCCTCCCATCGCCCACTTCTTCGTCTTCCGCTTCTTCGATCTCTTCTGCCTCCTCACCGCCGCTCTCGCCGGTGGACAACTCGCCGCCGCTCTCGCCGTGCGGTACGCCGCGCGGCACGCCGCCGAGGGACGCCGCGCTGCTCAAGTCCATCGCGCATGCCGCGGCGGTGGCGGACGCGCACGCGCTGCTGGCCGCCGCCGCCGCGGTGCCGCAGCGGCACGTGGCGGCGGCGCTGGAGAGGATGAAGTCGATGCCGCACGTCACGGCGGCCGCCGCCGCCGCCGCGGCGGTAGAGGCGGATCGACGGTCCAGGCTGCTGGGGCAATCGCTGTCGTTCAATTCGCGCACTAGCAATGCCGCTAGCCTGGTGGCGGCACTGCACAGGCAGATGGAACTCAACGAGCCCGGGGTGGGATATTCCGTGCCGCCTGGGGGATATTCGTCCCCGCCCGTGTCGCCGTCGCCCTATGGAAGATCTCCTCTCTTTCGATCGAATGACTGCGCGCGATCGCTCTCGCCGTCGCTGGGCATGGGATCGCCCAGCATTTGGAGCCGGACTGCGATCGACGACGAGTACTACGCGCAGCGATTCGATCAGTCGAAGAATCTGGCCGAGTGTGGCGGCGAGAATTGCCCCGATCTGGGATGGGTGAACGAGCTGGTGGCAATCAACTGAAGAGGGGAGATCGCCCAGCTTGTTGGATGGAAGGAAGGAGCGTCCCTCTTGCGATCGATCGAGCGACGATTAAAATCGGGTGCTAATTTTCGTTTTTTCCCCCTTTGCTTCTTTGGATGGCACAAAGTGTAAATCCCAATTCTCCTCCCCCTGCCGATCTCTTCCTTCTTTTTCTAATTGCCTCGCAGGTAAATTCCTCTTTCATTATTTTCCTTTGGTTTTCCCCTATGATTTGCTGCCGTTGAGAGAAGAGATAATTGTAAATGTTTTGGAAATGGTAAAAAACCGATTTTTTATAAGTTACGAAGAACCCTAAAAACAGAGCACACTCATTTCTCGTTGATCTCCTCGTCAAACCAGCGCGGTGGATCAAATCCGGAGGGGCCTGTCGCGTCGAAAACCATCAATCGCAGCCTTAGAATTGATTGAACTCCACCCACCTAGAGGATTGCAGCGAAGGAGGCGAGACCCAGTCAGGATTGTGCCTTTGACGACGCCATACTTTTGGTATGCTTGGATTGAGTAATCGCTGCAAGTTGGCACAAATCTACAGGAACCGGGCAGCAGCGGCGAAATCTCTCCTAAAGAAAAGAAGAGGGCTATTAGAAATGTTCTGGAATTTCAATCGCATCGCTTCACGCGTTTCTTACTCTTGTAGAATTTGAGAAACGAGACCGCCATGTCCACCCCAGGGGAGTATTTCTGACCGTCTATTAGTCACAAGTTCGATCGATCGATGACAGTTCAAGAGAGGAAAACTACTTGCCTTGCTCTTTCTTGTCAATTCTGCCTCGCATTCCACAGCGGCATCTCTGTCTGGAAAGCACAGTGTCCCTGATTGGGAGAAATTTCTTATTGATAGTAGGAGGTAGGGCAAAATGGACTTCCATAGCAAATAAAACTTGCATTGCATCCATGTAGTTAGGTCCCATGCTTTATAGTTGGGCAAGGAGATGAATCTCTCTTCCAAGATGTTACAAGAAGTGGCAGCATGTCTTAAACCAAACCATAACATCTTACAAGCTTTTACAATTTGCTCTTGGAATGTGCAGGAGAAAAATCAAAGTTGGGTTTGATCCACAAGGCTTGTGATGTGAAAGATGAAAGGGAAGAAGTGCTAGGTGGTGAAATTAAAGATTTTGGGGGCTAGGCACAAGGAATTAAGGTGCTGGCTTCTAGAAGGAGTTGTGGTTTAGCAAAACTGCAGCATTGGGAGATCCAGACACAAGAATCTTATGGAAAAGCATCATCAAGTAGCATAAAGGAATCTCATATTTGGGAGTATAAAAGGTAGATTTGGGAATATAAAAGGCAGGAGTTTAAAGTCCTTGAACAACTACAAGCATTGGCTCTTAGATCTTGTAAAGAGAATTTCCTTCCAGAGAGAAGTGAGGAATCTTTGTGTGGCTCAAGATCAACTATGGCAACATAGTGTTTCCGAGTTTGTTTGAGTTTATTAAGTGTGTTTTGCAATTCTTCCATGTCCAGAGTGAGGAAGGAACTCAGTCACCATGAGTTGGAGAAGAATCTTAGTGTAGCTTGCGATTAGTCGCAAAAACATAGTGTTCCTGAGCTTGTCTAGGTACAGAAAGAGTGTTTAGAGTTGTCCCACTAGTCTGAAAGAGAAAAAGGCTGGTCTGACATCTTTTGGATGAGGGACTTACTTGGATATGGAAACATGGTGATCCCAAATGTAGAGAGGCATCACCCAAGGAGAGACAGAAGTGAGTTAGTGGAGTCACAGTGAACAAAGGAGAATGATTTAAGGAGTTGATACTACTCGGGTGACCAGGAATCATCATTTGCTACAGTCTGAAGCATACCCACAGCACTAGGAGCTAGGCTGCATCATTCCCAGCTGGTGGAAGGCCACTATCAGGCTAGATCAGAGTTGGGTAGGCCTAGGGCAGCGAAATGCTAGAAGTTAACAAAGAAGTAACAATTAGCCACTATGTGGTACCCTTCCACTACCGCCATATTGATCAGTCCCAGCTTGGATTTAGACAAGTAATTAATTCATTAAAAGGCAGCAGTAGCTCAAGAGGCAGCAAATAAGCCTAGTGAAAGAGGAGGAAGATCAATGAGGCTTTTGGCAGTAGATTGGCATCAAGGGTTTCAACATTCTAGGCTAGATGGGAACTTCAAATGCCCGACTAGATCTAGTTGAGGAGGAAGATCCACACCATCTTTTGATCAAGCAAAGGGGTTTTTAGCATGCTGAAGGTCAAGATGAATGGAATTAGATATTTAATTTGAAATATGGTGGTAATGGTGGATTCTTGGATGTTGGAGGGTGATGTACAAACTCTCCACCAACAAATCATCCATCAAGTGGAGAAGAGCAGGACATCGGGTCAAATATTCTATGTAGAAGGAAAGTGAGGTGTTAGATGATTCAAATTGGGAGGAATTTGAGGTGCCATGGAACACACGAGGACTTGTAGAGGAGGATATACATGTCCCAATGGCTTATAGCTCAATATTCAAGCTAACCATGCATAAGAGACCAATAATTCCCCCTCCATGAGTGTTCAAAGGTGGAGTCACTACATTCCATGAGATTCTATGATTTCAAGAAAGTTCAAACTTCCTTCTTTCAAAGGTCAGATAGACAAAAATCAGGATTGGCTTTCCACTCTTTTCACAGCCAAAGAGGTTAATGGGTGGTTTGTATACAACATCATTCTCTAAATAAGATCTATAATGACAACTGGGTTAGCACATATCTAGTGGAATGTCAACAAGGAAAAATTCTTGGATCATATAGGTGGATAGGAGCTAGGCTTGGATTGGCTAGAATGCAAGTTTAGGGAAAGATTTCTAAGCCTTCTTTCCTTACTGCCACAACAGCAAGAGGTTAGTATTGTTGGACCTGTTATCAATTCCCACTTGAGTTAGTTGAAAAACTGGTCAATGGCCATGCACTTAAATTAGATAAACATAAGGTAGGAACCCTATGTATTTTTTGCTGAACTTACTCAGCTTAGTTTGATAAACTTGTGTCATTAGCTTGCACTTGCTAGTATCAAGAACCCCTACAATATTGAGATTGATCCCTCAATATTCACTAAATAATAGCTTATTGTGTCTGCTAAACACCCTCGCTATCATGCCCTTTGTATTGGACTCATTTCGTTCTATTAGCTAATTATGAAAAGTGTCTAGATTTGATAATTTGGCATATCTATGGAATGTAAAGATTAGCCTAAACACAATGGTGTTCGTCCCATGTCCAAAATTCACATTCTAACACCATTCCATATTAATAAGTTTTGAGTTAGTCTCAGAAACTAACTCTTGATACTAAGTTTGGGGTGAAAGCCCAAAGCATCTATTCCTTAGAGGAAGGGGGGAGGGGGGTGAGGGGGATATGGGGGGTTCCAAATGTATAATAGAGATAATGGGTATATCAGGCATGGCCAACTAACCTAAGGCATAGTTTAATTCCCGCTTGTGTGCCTGTCTTAGTTTTGTGTCCAGCTTGGGTCTAAACCCAAGTTCCACACCATGCTAGCTGGTGGAGTACCCATATCCTTGCGTTAGGCCACTGGTATGCTAAAATAGCACTAGACTCCATTTGGCTTTGTTTTGCGTGTTGATCCTGACATTGGGATGCTAGATGCTCTAGGACTATTCCAAGTTGTTTCACCCTCCTGTTCCTTCACTTTTTGAGCTGTACGCTCAAGAGTTGTTCCATGCTCTAGTGTTATTGCTTGGGAGTTTGGCACTATTCTTTCATTTAGTGGCCCAAGGCCTTGAAACTTGGGTTCTACACCACTATCCTTTGGACATGTGGCATGTGATTCTGATTCGTGGTTATCCTATGGTAAATCACCATAGAATAAGGGTAAAAAACCACATACACTACAGATTGGCATAGGCAGGCTCAAGGTTCACTAAGATGGAGAATCAATTGCTTGAGATATTTCAAGATGCTGTAAGAGATGCTTGAGAGTTGGAGGTTAGAGAGTTACTCAAGTAGTAGATACACTACAAGATTCCATCCCTATAATGGAATCTCAAGCTAAAGGTGAGAAGGAAGAGGATACTTTGACAAAGATGAATCTTGATGATAGAGCTTAAGTCTCAACTTACCAAGGTGGATCATTATATGGCAGCTTTTGGGAGGAAGCTGGTGGATCAAGCATTTGGAGATTCTAAGAACTAGGAAATGCTTTTAGTGAGGAAAAGATGATTATTAGGCTAGGAATTGCTTATTGAATTATATTTGCTTATTGAGTTGGTTTAGCAAATCACATGGAAGGATTTAGATCAGTAAAAGGATCATGAAGAGGCAAAGGCACAAGATTCTCAAAAAGAAGAAGAGGAAGATTCTTTTCTATATCTAATGTACATTTGTGAGTAGCAATAGAAGATGGATGAGAAAAAAAGGCTCTAAATAAAAAGAAAGTTCAATCAAGCAAATCAAATCATCTCAACAAGGATCCAAAGGGAAATATCAAATTTGACTAAGTTCATAAAGAAATCTTCAATTCAATTCAACTCAATTGGACTTTAAAAACTGGTGAGAGAAGAAAAGTATTAATATTGTTGGTAAAACAAGTGGATGAAGATAGAAGGTGAGACAAAATAGATTAGAAAAGGTTTTAGGGGAAAAAGAGTGGAATCTTTGCTCTTTTCAAAGATTAGTCTCTGATGCATCCACATAAAGGATGAAAGTAATCATTTTTGGAATGAAGGTTGAGATTTTGTTAGATTTTGGTGTAAATCAATCAGCCTTAAACTATGAAGTGGTAAAGAGGTTTAAGATTAAGTATTTGAATGGCCTTGTACAATGTTTGGAACTAATGGTGAACCAACTTAGTCATTTGAATTCATCAAAAATTCCAATTCAAGTAGGACTAGAGGAGATTTTCTTGAGAGTCATGGTTAACTACCAAGATTGCTACTTTCTCCTATTTGGTTTGGACACTCATCTCTTACTAGATGAATATTTGAAACCTTACAAGAAGGTATTTTGTTTCTTTAAGAGAAGCTACAAATTCTAGTGATGATCCACAATCACTACAACATCTAAGGGCATGCAAAGTGTTTGGTTAGTAGGATAATTAACTTTACTCCAATAGAGAAGGCAATCCAAGCAGCAGCTCTCCCAAGCTTCCTCGGATGAAATTCCTTGATAGCTACATAAAATGGAGGTTGCTAAAGGGAAATAGAAAATCTTTGCAATAATTTAAACTCAAGGAAGAATAGGCAATATTGAAGAAGAGCCTAAAGTCTCTAGCTGAGGAGGACAAAATGAGTCAATTCCTCAATAATATTCAATTTAGGAAGATGGAGATAGTGAATTAAGAGGTGATTTAGAAAGCACAAAGTATAATAGCAAGGCATCAAGTAGTATTCTATCAGTCTAGATGGGAGCTTAGCAAAACACTACTTGTTGAACATAAGATTGAGAAAAGGGGGCCATCTTCAATCAAAAAGTTAGTATATAGGTATTTTGAGGTGGAAATAAAGGTGATTAACAAAAACATGGATAATATGCTTTGAGCAAGGGTGATTGAACCTTCAAACTTGCTATGGTGCTTTCTCGTGGTACTAGCACTAAAATCTGACAGATCTTTATGGATGTATGTCAATTATAAGCTACTAAACGACATTATAGCAAAAAATGTTCATCCAATGCCAAGAGTTAACACAATGTTGGACAGAATTAGGCAATATAAAGTATTCTTGCTTATTAGTCTTCATTCTACATTTTTGTAAGTTGGACTTCATCTAAGTAGCAAGGAAAAGACATCTTTTGCAACTCAACAAGGATTATTTCAATTTACCAAGATATTATTCGAGTTATGTAATTTGCTAGCAACATTTCAAAGGATGATGAATGGAATTTTGGCACCTTGTGATGCTTATGCTCATCCTTACTTTAATGATATTTTGGTACATTCAGATTCATCTTGGGCATGCAGATCAAGTATTGGAA